AAATAAATATAAGCCTAGAGAGTACTATATCTAAAACCAATTTATTTCTTTATCGAGATATGAGCCCATAACATTCTCTGTGATTTTTTTCTTGGACATTAGTGGCGTGCATGTCAGCAATTATTATTACATATGAAATATATATGTATATATAAGTGTAGGAAGTAAAAATTGAATAATAAAATGCATTTATTATATAATATAATACTTATTATAATAAAAATTGCATTTAGATATATTTTAAATATACACATTTTTTTGCATTAGATACAATATTTGAAATAAATAATACTATATGTTTTATTATTTCTTGAAATTTATTTATTTTTAATTCGTAATAAAATAAAATAAATAAAATTATATATATATATATATATTTTTTTTTTCTGAATTTTTTTTGATTGGTGCTTGAAATCCAATCAAGTCTCACCAACTTAGGACCAGTAGTTAGTTAGTTGTATGCAGATTACCAAAACATTATAACATGTTACCTAACTTTACTTGTTCTTCATATAATATAAAATAAAATAAAATAAAATAAAATAAAATAAAATAATTTAATTTAATGAATAATATACATCCCTTTCTTGATAAGTCTACTTGCCCAATTTCGTGCCTTGGATCAACGGTCCAGATTTCATTTTACAATTTATTTTAAAAGGCATTTTAACTAATATTCTATCATACACTATTTATTACATAATTTTTTTTTTAATAATATTTTTTCTATTTAACTTCAAAAAAGAAAAAAAAAATTAAATAAATCAAGATGGTATAAATTAAGAAAGAGGGAGAGATGTTTGATTGTTGTAGATAAAAATAGACCCATCCACTCTACTTCACATATTTGAGTGATCTCTGTCTATTTAAATATAAATTAATTTTTTTGAAATACTTCAAAAATTGTAAGAGAAAAAATATTTAATATATATGTATATATTTAAAAATTAACACTAATGAATAATACCAATTAAAAGTTACAAACAGCTCGTATACTCTCGCTCTCACTTCAAATATAAAATTTAATGATATAATAGTTCTTTCTTTTTCAATAAATATAATATGGATTTTACCAAATATATATATATATATATTACAAATATTATAAAATATATATAATTAATATTATTAATTAAATTTAAAAAATAATAATATTTGTATATAAAAAGTAGCACCACATAGATAGATTGATTAAATTTTGTTGCAAAAATAAACAAATGCTACTTTTAAGGTGGAATTATAATAATTAGGGATGAGCATGACATTATGTCACCCATGCTCTTACCCACCAACTTCTCTTTGTGTATAACCAAAGCATATCATAAATAAATACTCACTCCGTCCCAATCACCGTGCAATATTTGTATTTGGCACGAGAATTTAGGTGAGGAGTATTAAGTATGGTAATTTGAGATAATTTGGATATTAAATAATGTAATTGGAGAGAGAAATGATTATTTGTTTTTTATTTTTATTTGAGTGATGTGATGGGATAAAACGAAGTGTATATTAATATATATATAAATATTATTAATTATTTCTAACTTTGGAAATGTTGCGGTGAGTTTGGAACAAACAAAAAAAAAATATTGCAGAATGTTTGGAACGGAGGGAGTATTATATATATATATATACACGATGCACAAAATAAATTTTATTGGTATTTTCTAAATTCTTGATTGGTACTTTGTGAACTTTTTTATATATCCTATTTGAAAAATATCATAATAATGTCATATGTTCTATGCGAATATGTCTCGCGCTAGTCATTTTTGTATTGTATTTATGTTACATTGATATAAATTATATGTTATCTGAACTTTCGATCGATGCTATTTGAAAAAATCATAGTAACCAAATCGATATTTATATGAAAGCTCCATTTAGTTAAAGTTAGATATTTGATGTCTTATTTTATAATAGAAATTGTATGTCATATTAAAAATATATATATATATATATTATCAATAAATATTGAATTTATATATAAATGTTGTTCAATTTATGTTATTTTATTTAAAAAAGAAAGAAATAATGATAAGAAATTAAAGGGCAAATGTCTGCATCTCCACCTACTCCTAACCACTCACTATCATACCTTCTATAATTATTACACACACTTCTATCCACGCATAACAACAATTTAAGATATATTTTCATAATATAATCGATTTTTATTTTAATTTTTTTAAAAAAATTAAAATTATTATTATTCCTTCCGACCCAATCAAAAGGGTTTGACTCGTCTTTTGTAGTAAATAGAAAAAAATATTAGATCCCTCGTCTCATTATGTGCTCACATACGAATTTTAAGAAAAATAAAATTTTTTATTTTTTAGGATAAAAAAATAGAAAAAATGATATTTTTTACTAAAAAATAAAATAAAAATAAATTTAGATGACGATAAAAATAAGAAAGTGAATAAATTTTGAATGACTTAGTAATATCTTATTAGTTAATGAAAATATATAAAATAATTTTGTTTTTTTTGCCATTTATACTTTATTTATAAATTAATTTTATGTCTAATGATATATTTAAATTTTATTAATTTAAAAATATTTTGATCTTACTGTTTGATTACTTTAATAAAAAAAATATATATATATATTTTTTTTAATAAAACAATAAAAAATAGTGAAAATAGCACTTGTAAAAATATAGTAGTATTATTTTACCTTATAAAATATTAAATTTAAACTCAAATTAAAAGTAAACAAATCATTCATCCTGCAACTTCAATTGCAAGTTAATAGTATATTATTTAATTTTTATTTTTTTTTCATTTATTCTATTTCTCTAAAATTTCTTAAAATGATCACCTATAATCTCATATTTTTATATCTTTCCAATAAATAAGTATTTATAAACATTAAAAAATCTCTATTTATTTATTTTTTAAATTTTCATGCCTAATCAATCATATATATACAAACATCTTTTCAAAGGATAAAGAATATATATGGTTGTGTTTGATTTATGCTTTTATCTTTTTCAATCAAAATTTTTTAATTCACTGTCTTTAATAAAATCATAGTATTATTTTATTTTTTTAAAAAAACATAACTTTCAAATTATTATTTCATAAATTCAAACAATTGTTATACAATTTCAACTCAAACAAACTTGGGTTTAGTATATATATATATATATATATAAAAAATGAGATTATATTATTTATAAACAATATTTTTAAAAAAATATTATAAAACCAAAAATGTATTTATTTTCACAAAAAATACATCAAATAAAATTGAAGGTTGATATAATAGTTGGTGGGGTGGGGTGGGAGTGGGGAATTGGTGCATCAAGTGCACCCACCCATATTTGAGTGTGCTTTAGTTATCTTTCTTGACTTTGGATAAATGGACAATGATTCATCTCCCTATTCATACATATATATATATATATATATAGTTTTTATTTTTATTTTTATTTTTATTTTTTATTTTTCACTATTCATTTACCCAATTTTATTTACCACTATTGTTAGGATGCCTAATTAACTTTACAGCGCTCTACAAGAACTCATCAATTTTGTAACGAAGTTTTTCTTTGTTCCTAAATTTATTTTTTTTCGTTACTATACTACAAGAAAAAATTATTTTTGTAACAAAATTTTTTTGTCTCTAAATCTACTTTTTTCGTTACTAATGACATTAGAGACGGAATTAAGAATGAAATTACGTTAGCTACGTGAACATTAGGGACGGAATTCCGTTATAATTATATTATTTTTTTGTAGTGCTAATGATATTAGAGACGAAATTACGTTAGCAACGTAAACATTAGGAACGAAATTACGTTAGCAACGTGAACATTAGGAACGAAATTCCGTTACAAATATACTATTTTTTTTTTGTAGTGGTGATTAATCCAATCAAATGTATAAAAATATTTCAATAACATATAAACTAATGTTATATTATATCAATTCATATATATATATATATATTGTATTTTTATTATATAAACACATATTTATGACGGTTAATTGTGTATAATATATTTTTATTATATATTATTTGTGTGTCAATAATGTGGTGATTAAATATAATCAACATAGTAACAATAGCATTTATTTATGACTTATTTGTGTTACCTTGATTTGTAGCCTCAATTATTTACATTTATGTTTTTATTTATTTATTTATTTATTTATTTATTTATTTTTATAATTTTTGGTGAGGAGCTTTAATGGAAAAATGACTTTTAACCTTTTTATTTTTTTATTTTCAATAGAAAATTGATCTTTGCCAGTCTAACCATGTTGGGAAATCCATAACTTGTGTAAGTGAATTTTGTTTTGGTCAAATGATATTAAAGAAGATAACTTATTTGTTTGAAGATATTGGAGAGTGATTAAAATAGTTACTTAAAAAAAAAAAAAGTTTCTTGGCCATTTGAATAAACATATCTATAATGTAAATCAAATATTAAATTAAAAAAAAAAAAACTTTCATATGCATTATCCAATGAGAAGAAATTGATTAATTAAGGGTAAAAACACTTTTGAGAGAATAGTAGAACTTAAAATTAAAATAATTATTTAATTTAATATAAATATATAAAAATTTAATTAAATTTTAATATAACATAAAAATAAAAATAAATGTTTGATTTTATATTTTAAATTATTTTTTAATAAAAAATCAAAACTTAGGTAAAAATCCACTCAAAGCACATAAACCTCTAGAAAAAAGTGTGTTGCTTCTAAGTTTGATTTTGATCTCATAACATTTATCACTTTTTATTCTTTTTAAAATAAGTAAATTAAATATAATTTTCAATTAATATATTATAGAAAAATTATTAAATCATAAACTTATTTACTCACATAATTAAAATTCCATTTTAGTTGAAAGTTTTCATCAAAACCCCAAAATTATAAAAAAATCCAAACTTTAAAAAGAGTGTGGGTGTCACTCTCATTTTATTTATTTCTTTGACAGTGAAACTCCAACCCTATTTATTAACCAAAATCAAGAAAAAGGAAAGACATAAAAAACTTTCCTTACCCTACTTTTTTGGTGTTTTCATCACTTCATTGGTGTATATAAAAACAAACCCAAATGCTCATTTCTTTTGCAAAATCCCAAAACACACCAAATAGATGAATGAGAGTTTCTTAAGACAAGAACATGATGATCATCATCATCTTCTTGATTGTCCTATGAAGATCGAAGAAACCAAGAAACCCTTAATTAAGGTAAGGTTGTAATTAGTGGGGTGTGATCTTAATTGATTAATGGAGGTGGAGAAGAAGAACAAGAACAAGAACATTTGGGGAAGTGTTTTGGGGAAGATTAAAGTGGGTGAAAAAGAAGGGAGTGATCCATTTTTGTGGGCAATTCAAGTGTCCTCCAACCTCACTTCTCTTGGGATTTCTTTGCCATGTCTTGAATTGGGTCATCATTTGGTATCCCACATTTGTTGGGACAACATTAATGATCCAATTTCTTGGAAGTTCTTGGAGAAAGCTATGGCTCTCAAGATTGTCCCACCCCTCCTTGTTCTTGCCCTCCTCTCCACCAAGTAATCAATCTTTCCCCTCTCTCTCTCTCTAAGTCTCTCTATACTTTTTTATTTTATTTTAATCTCTTCGAAGATTTGTTTACTTTGGTATAATATTGAATTAGTTTGAATGTTATTTGAAATTAAGTAATTTTTATTTAAATATTATTTTTATTTGGTGTTTTGTGAATAAAATAGAGTAGTTTTTATTTAAAATTATGTCGAATAAATAATATTAATTTTAATTTAAAATGATAAAAAAAAACACACACACACATTTTGTATTTTGGTTTATTACAGTGCTTTAGGTATAATTTAAATGCGTATTTTAGATAAAGGGCTGTATTTGAATTGAGAAGATTTGGTTTGTGATTTTATTTAAATAAATGCTTGATGGAGTATAATATTTTTTAAGAAAAAAAAATGCTTATTTTCTTAAAAAATAATATAGTCTATATAGTAAAAATTAAAATAATAATAGTAATTAAAAAAAAAAAGACTAAAGAATCAAAGCCAAATGTTATTTTATCAAAAAAATAAAAAAATAGTGTTTCATCCGTCCGCCTCTATAGGTCACATTTACATTTTACGTCATTGTGCTTAATATTAAAAATATTCTTATATTTGTATAATTTTTTGTACAAATATCTTTGTATTAGTATTATAAGACACAAATGAAAATATCTTTGCAATTTTTTCTTAATTTATCTTATATTTTTATATAATAATAATATTCAAATATCAATACGCAAAAAATAAATGAGACCCTTATAGCTGGACAAAAATATTATATCTTTGCAAATAATCGAAAGCCTAGTTAAATGTAGGTAAGTGGGTGGCCGGATTGTTTTGAAAGGTTTGTATTTTTAATTTAAATAATATTTGATATGATATTTATAATTAAACACATATATTTTCAGGAAACTAAAAATACAAATGGTAAAAATTGGAGAGAAAAAAAATAAAAAAATTCGAAAGAAACACTCTTGCATTTGCTCAATTGTATTCTAATAGTTACCTAGCTTTAGGTTTGATTCAAATAATGGTTTGAATGAGATATTTTGCCATAAAAAATTAACTATTTTTATAAGTAATTGTAAGAATGGAATAGTAATTAGAAAGACAATACGTGGTTTGGAGAAAATTAATGCTTTGTTCGCATTTTTGGGTAACCATTGCGATTTTTATGTCATAAAAAAATATAATAATAAAAAAATTAATGCTTTGTTATTACAATGAAATGCCCAATCAAGATCAGCTACATTGTAAAATCTCATATTTCTTCGTCTTAAGAAATGTTGTTTATACTTTTTGATACGGATTTTAATGTGAATATTTACTTATGTTATGTTATTTAAAGTGAGCATATTTTTATTTTATTTTATTTTATTAAATGAAATAGGATAATGCCCCGACGGCGATCGTTCCCGGCGGCGTATAGACTTTACATGGAGCTTCTAAAACGACATGCTTTCTCATTGAAAGAGTATATTCAATTGCCAAACTATTACAAGTTAGTTTTCCGACACTCTTACTCTAATTTTTCAATTTGATTTTATTTTCTTACTATACAATTATAGCTATTTTTTATAAAAGTATACATTTCATTCGGAAAAAGGGCTCTAAAAGTTTTTAACTACAAAGATTAAAAAAAAAATATATATTTTAATACAAGTTTTGACAAAGATTAAATTAGAAAAATAGTATTAGGTATAAGACTTTTATAATTACAATAGAGTATTCTATGATATAAAAAACCGATAAATTAATTTGAAAATCCATCATTTGATAAGCTAGTAGTTTATTTAAATAACCAGTAACTCAGTTTTTTTTTTTTTTAAATGTTAATTACCCATATTTACAAGTTTATAACTTGATTTAATTTTTATTTAAATTGTATAAATATGGATGTGTTGAAAATTTATAGCTGATATTACATAATAATGAAATCATTAATTTAACTTGAAATATAATAAGATATGCATTTGTTCTCAAATGTAGCTTCAAGTCACAACAATATTCTCATAGTGCCATATTAATCGAGCTCGATATAGAGTTGGTAATATAAATTTTCTTTTCAAATTATAATACACTGAAGGTAAAAAATGAAAATTGCTAATAGGTAAAAATTTGAAAAAAAAAAAAAAAAAAAAAACAACAACAATATATAGGTTTGTTTCTTTTAACTCCAAACCTCATATTTTTACTATTTGAATCATGCGTTCCTTGAAAAAAAATACACATTTTACTCTTACAAAATATCACATCCCACATTATTTTAATACTAAACTCAAACCAAAATTTTTCAAAACATACATTAAAAAAAAATAAAAAAAATATGAACTTTATTACATAAATGTTTTCAAATCCAAACTACTATTTAAACAATAGAACACAATCTTTATCTACCATTGATCTGTGTTCATGTTTCTTACAAAATCCTTTCTTGCAGAACCATGGATGCTTTAGATCAAGTTCTCCAATTGTCCCAAAAATTCAACATAGAATGTAATGAGGCTGGAGCAAAGCTGGTTATGTATGTCTTCTCCATCATTTGGCAGCTGCTCGACGCCATACTCGACGATGAAGGACTCTCCGGCGATGGCGTCGACCCTAAATGGCCCGTCAAATTCGAAGAAGACGACAATGTCTTCGACGAGACAAGAAAACAATACGGCGAGAAAATGCAGGCTGCCAATACTTCCATCGCCGTAGACTTATTGTCGCAATTCTTACAGGACAAAGTCGCCGCCGGAATTCTTTACCTCGCCCGCAAAACCATGTCCGGTCGCCGCCCCTTTTTTAAATTTCTTACCTTTTTTTGTCGACGCAACTCGATTTTGAATCGATTACGTCTTCGACAGGTCCAAACAATGGGAAAGCTTCATCGATCGCCTGCGGATTCTCGTCGAAAAGTCGCCGTCTTTGAGGAACTCGAAATCGACGTCACCGGAGGCGCTTGCGGAGTTGATATCGAAGCGTCGGAAGATCGATTTGCAATCGAAGTTCGATCGGGTGTCGCAATCCGGGCCTCTCGTAAGCTCCGCCGCACTCTGCGTCGGCACGAGTCGATCGACGCTTTGGCTACCTCTCGACATGCTGCTCGAAGACGCAATGGACGGCGCGCAAGTTAGCGCGACAAGCGCCGTCGAAATCATCACCGGTAGACTTCGAAGATTCGTTAAATTCGCCGCAGCGATTGTAACTTTTACGTTTCGACGTTTTCGTCGCAGGCTTAGTGAAGTCTCTTCAAGCGATTAATGCGACGTCGTGGCACGAAGTCTTTCTCGGGCTATGGATGTCGTCGCTACGCCTCGTTCAAAGGGTGAGAATACTTTCCGTGTCCTTATCGATCTTTTTTAATTTCGTCGATCGCATTGTAAGAAAAATGTCGACTTTTGTCCGAAATCAGGAGCGAGATCCGATCGAGGGACCGGTGCCGCGCCTCGACACTCGAATGAGCATGTTGATGTCAATCACGACTCTAGTGATCGGCGATCTTATAGAGGAAGAGGAATCCAACGGTGCAAACGAATTCGACTCGGAGAACGATCGATCGCTCCGGAAAAGGCGTAAAGATTTGATCTTTAGCCTCCAAAATCTTCGCGATTATCAGACGTTGCTGGCACCGCCTCGCTCAGTCGTTCCCGCTGCCAATCGAGCTGCGACGAAAGCCATGATGTTCGTATCGGGTTTCAATGTCGGAGGCGGGCAGTTCGAGTGCATCACCGCGACGGATATGCCAATTACCTGCTGTAAATCGATACCCCACCTCGACTTTCGAAATTAATATCGTTTCGATCTCGATTTCGCCATGTAACTTGTTTCTGATCTTACTCTGTAGCCGGAAGTCTGTACCATTTAATCGTCGAGGCTTGCATCGCAAGGAACCTATTGGACACGTCGGCGTATTTCTGGCCCGGTTATGTTGATGGCCGCATCAACCAGCTGCCTCATAATGTCCCGAGCCAAGTCCCCGGCTGGTCGTCGTTCATGAACGGCGCAGCTCTAACTCCGACGCTGATCGACGCTTTAGTCTCGACTCCGGCTTCGTGGTATGCGATTTCACTTTTTATTAAAGGCGCTTTTGTTCAGATCGTAACTACATTTCAACAAAATTACTTATAACACATCTATTATGCGAAAATTTTGCATCATTCTTCTTCATGATTTAGAAAACTGCATGAAACTTCATCGCGTTTTAGAAAATATTGTACAAGATCATTTAAACTATGAGGGAGCTTCATGTGATTTCGGGAGGATTTTGTGCAATGTTTTCTAAAGTACAATGCGCGAGCAAAACAGGTCGAATGCCTGTTTATTTGGCGTAAGATTGCATTCGATTTGTGTTCATAAGCCGCGATCTTTTCTCCGGTTAACCGTTGCTTTCACTTATGCCGATCTTCTGTCGAGAAAAAAACAACTAAATTCGAGATCATGAATTTAATCGAAGCTTTGCAGAGATTGAGAAAGTCTTTAAGATTGCAGTCGAAGGACCCGAGGAAGAAAGAATACCTCCCGCGACAATTCTCTGCGGCGCTTCTCTCCTTCACGGCTGGAACATTCAGGTAACGATCCTAAATTTCATCGAAAACTTTTTTCGAATAGATCCAAGAAATTTCAAATGATCGATATCTCTCCACTCTGCAGGAACACACTCTTTATTTCATAACCAGATTGCTGTCGCCGCCAATTCCGGCGAACGATTTATCGAACGAAAGCTATTTGATAAGCTACGCTCCGATGCTCAACGTTCTCCTCGTCGGAATTTCGCCCGTTGATTGTGTCCAAATCTTCTCCCTCCACGGTTTGGTACGTTCTTTGTTATCCTCGATTTTCATCAATCGCCGGTAATTTTACTCAAAACGTCGTTCTTTGACAGGTTCCGGAGCTCGCGAGCTCGTTAATGACGTTGTGCGAGGTCTTCGGGTCATGCGTTCCGAACATTTCCTGGACAATGACGACTGGAGAAGAAATTTCAGTGCACGCCGTGTTTTCGAACGCTTTCGCGCTTCTTTTGAAATTATGGAGATTTAATCATCCTCCGATCGAATATGGCGTCGGCGACGTACCTCCGGTGGGATCGCAGCTCACTCCTGAGTACCTTTTGCTCGTTCGTAATTCTCATCTCGTTTCGTCGGGGATTTCGCTGAAAGACCCGAATCGAAGGAGGCTCGCCCAGGTTGCAAGTTCGATGTCGTCGAAACCGATATTCGTCGACTCGTTCCCGAAGCTCAAAGTGTGGTATCGACAGCATCTAGCCTGTATCGCTTCGCCTCTCACCGGACTCGTAAACGGGTCGCCGGTGCATCATACCGTCGACACCCTGCTTAACATGATGTTTAGAAAAATCAATCGAGTAAGCCAATCGGTTATTACCGTTACGTCGGGAAGTAGTAGCTCGTCGGGAGCTGTAAGCGACGACGGTTACCTAAGACCCAAGTTGCCGGCTTGGGACATCCTCGAAGCCGTCCCGTTTGTCGCCGACGCTGCGTTAACTGCTTGCGCTCACGGGAGATTGTCGCCGCGCGAACTTTGCACCGGTCAGTCGACGTAAATTTTGTTCTTCCGATCGATTTCTTCGAATTTCTATCGCATCGTGGTTTTGTTGTTTTCGATAGGGCTGAAAGATTTGGCGGATTATCTCCCGGCGACACTGGCGACAATCGTGAGTTATTTCTCGGCTGAAGTCACCCGGGGCGTGTGGAAGTCGGTGTACATGAACGGAACCGACTGGCCGAGCCCAGCGGCGAATCTCTCGAACGTCGAAGAACAGATAAAGAAGATCTTGGCGACGACCGGCGTCGATGTGCCGAGTCTTGCTGCAGGTTCGCTTTCGATCTTTTTACGACGTCTACCGTTCTTTTCTTGATTAATGTCGTTTCACGGTGGGTTTATGCGCAGGAGGGAGTTCGCCGGCATCGTTGCCGTTGCCGTTGGCGGCGTTTGTGAGCCTCACGATTACGTACAAGCTCGACAATGCGTCGCAACGGTTTCTCGATCTCGCCGGCCCGGCGTTGGAATCGCTCGCAGCCGGGTGCCCGTGGCCGTGCATGCCGATCGTCGCGTCGCTGTGGACGCAAAAGGCGAAGCGATGGAGCGATTTTCTCGTCTTCTCGGCGTCCCGTACTGTTTTCCTTCACAGCAACGACGCCGTCGTGCAGCTTCTGAGGACTTGCTTTAGCGCCGCGCTCGGAACGAACGTCGCCTGCATATCGAGCAACGGTGGCGTCGGAGCGCTTCTGGGTCATGGGTTCGGATCGCATTTCAATGGCGGGATCTCGCCCGTGGCGCCGGGGATTCTGTACCTGCGAGTTTACCGATCGATTAGGGACATTATGTTCTTGAGAGAGGAGATAATATCATTGCTGATGCAAACCGTCGAAGAGGTCGCGCAGGGAGCGTTGTCGAGCGAGCGGCCGAAGTTCGAGTCGAGGCTGTCGAAAAGCGGGATGAAACACCGTCACGCATCGCTCGCCGCAGCTCTAACGAAGGTGAAACTCGCGGCGTCGTTTGGAGCTTCGGTGATCGTCCTCACCGGTGGGCTCGGGCTGGTGCAGTCGTTGATTAAGGAGATGCTCCCGTCGTGGTTCATGTCAATTCACCGCTCGAAACGGGATGGCGACAGAGGCGGGACGCTGCCGATGCTGAGAGGGCACGCGCTGGCGTACTTAGCGGCGTTTTGTGGGGCTTTTATTTGGGGCGTCGACGCATCTTCGTCGTCGACCGCAGCTTCGAAGCGACGGCCGAAGATTCTCGGGTACCATATGGAGTTCTTGGCGAGCGCTCTCGACGGGAAGATTTCGCTCGGCTGCGACCCGACTACCTGGCATGCGTACGTCTCCGGGTTCCTGAGCTTGATGGTTCGATTCACGCCGACGTGGGTTCTCGAGCTGAACATCGATTTGTTGAGACGACTCTCCGGCGGACTGCGGCGGTGGAACGAGGACGAGCTGGCGCTCGCGCTGCTCGCCGGCGGCGGCGTCGCCGCCATGGGCTCGGCTGCGCAGCTAGTTGTGGAAACTCAGCTTCTGTAATTCATCTCAAGATTAGCGTTTTAGATCAAATCAGCTATGAGTGTATGTATAGAATGTGTAGTTATATATATATATATATATATATATATGACGACGATTAGAATGCAGACTAGCTAAGGAAGACAACAATGGAGGAAGGCAAAACTTAAGGTTATCAAAGAAACGATCGTTAAATTTGAATAGTTGTTTGATGTGATATAAATAAATTTTCTGATAAAACTAAGTCAAACTACTGAATATGTGAAATATTTCAATATCTCTTCAAACTCAAGTGGTTTAGCAAAATCACTGAGTTTGCAAATAGAAATCGAAAATAATGTTGCCACAATCATCCACTGTGCAGTCAGAAACAATGTTTTCAACTGAATTAGAGTCGGAAACAACAATATTTTCGATGGAGTCGGAAATAATACGACTCTCGATGTAATGTATAATATAAAAATATATATAATTTTTTAATTTGATATTTTTGGAGGAAAAAAAGAATGTTACACAATGCCACTGTAACCTGGTGATCGAGAAAGTCTTCGCCTTTGCATCGCATCCCGAACAAGAAAAGCCTCCGTCCACCGGCCGGCATCGGCGTAGATGTTCGACAACAGAACTCGGCTTGGGCCGTGTAACGGCTCGACCTTCGCTAAATTCTCGGCGGCTCGTTCGCCGATATCCGCGTCGTCGTGCATTTTGCACGCCGCCAAAAGCGCACCCCAAATCACGGCATCAGGTTTCACGGGCAACCCGTTCACCATTTCTTCCGCTTCTTTCAGCCGCCCGGCTCGACCCAAAAGATCGACCATACAGCCGTAGTGTTTGATGTTCGGCTCCAACCGATACACGCGTTTCATGCTGTCGAAATATCGCTCGCCTTCTTCGACGAGCCCCGCGTGGCAGCATGCCGTCAAGACTCCGATGAACGTGATTCCGTTAGGCTTTACGCTTCGTCGCTGTAAGTCGTAGAAGATTCGTAACGACATTGCCGCGTGCCCGTGCATCGCCAGCCCGCAGATGATTGCGTTCCAAGGAGAGACGTCTGTTGCGGTATCCCGAATCTGATTAAAAACTTCCAACGCGGAATCGATGCTCCCGCATTTCGCGTACATGTCGACGATCGCGGCGCTCAAGTAGTCGTTGATCGATATCGAGTTGCGAACAATGTAGTCGTGCGCGCGTCTCCCTTCCGTCAATGACCCTAGACTCGAAATCGCGGAGAGCACGCTGACCATCGTGATTTCGTTCGGCTCGATTCCGTCATCGATCATTTTATAGAAGAGCTCGAGAGCTGCGTTCGGCGGCCCGATCTGAGAATAACCGGCGATCATCGTGCTCCACGAGAAAACATCCCGTTCCGGCATCTCGTCGAACAGAAATTTAGCGTCGTCAATCCTTCCGTTTCGAATGAATCCCGCGATAAGAGCATTCCAACATGCGACGTGATTTTTATTCCCTTCGTCGAACTGGCGCCGAGCGAATTCAACTTCCCCACATGCCGCGTAAAAATGAACCAACGTTGATTGCACGAAGTCGAAATGATTGAACCCTGTCTTTAACGCTAGCGAATGAAATTGCCGCCCCCCGGAAAAGTTCGAAACTTGGCCACAAGCGGAAACCATGTCGACGATCATAACTTCGTTAGAATTCATACCAAATCGTCTCATGACGCCATAGATTTCCAACCCCTCCGACAACCTCCCGACCTGAATGTATCCGTTAATCATCGTCCCCCAAGAAACAACATCCTTCTCAGGCATTGAATCGAACAATTCTCTCGCCGAGTCGATCCGCCCCGCCTTAATGTAACCATTCAACATCGCATTCCACGTAACGACGTTCTTCGCGTTCATATCGTCAAAAATTACTCGAGCGTCACCGAGACACGAATCCACGCAGTAAAGATGAATCAAGTTTGTCGAAACGAACACAGCTTTAGCAACCCCGAGCTTCATCGCGAAACTATGTAATAACTTAGCGCGATTTCGGACACCGTCGAGATGCGCGTAAGCCGAGATAACAATCGTCACCGTAACTGCGCCGGGAAACACTCCCGACGACATCATCTCCTTAAAAAGGCTAACGGTTTCGACATAGAACTCGTTCTTAGCTAAACACATCATGATTGTAGTGTAGGACACGCAGTTCTTCATAGGCATTCTGTCGAATAGTTCATAGGCATCATTCAAACAGCCAGATTTGACGTAACCTCCGAGCATTATGTTGCAGGAGACCAAATCGAACTTCCGTTCGCTATCAAACATCGATTTCGCGCTGGATAATCGTCCTGTCTTCGAGTACATGGTGATCAAGCTGTTCCTGACGAAGATGTTGGAATCGAGCCCCGATTTGAGGATGTGGCATTGCAGCTGCAGTCCGTGGATGAACAACGAAGGCGATGATGAAGAAGAAACGGATTTGAGAGCAGAAACGATTGAGTATTCCAAAGAATGGCGTCTGTCGTCGGAATTGATGGACAGCGGTGGGGAAACTGTGCAGAGCCATTTGATTGAGCGGAGACGGGAATTGAGAGCCGACGAGATTTCGCGGCGCAGAGCAATGATCATTTGGGGGTGTCAGTGGCGAGAATTTGTGAAGTTGCGGAGCAATTAGGGGTTGCAATTTTTGAAGTGATCTTCGTTACTGGGAAGAAGATGAGAAAAACCTTCAAGAAATCAAAAGAACAGCACATTCAGATCAGACCTGTAAGCCCAATGATATATAATTTGGACTCAGAACTCCTAAAAATACATGTGTGCCATCGTTGGTTTTTTTTTTTTTTTTGAATTATATTGTATGCAAGTGAATAGAATATATTACATTATTTGGATTAATTATGTCATTTTATTTAGATATTTTAATACAAATAATAGAGATTACGATGTATAATATTATTTTATTCGACTCTGATTTATTTAGTAAAATTAATCGTACAATCTCTTCTCTACTATTATTTAATCTCACTTAATAAATTTTTAAATTATCTAACTTTTAAAACATTTATAATCATTTTACATAAATATCATAATATATATTTTTAAATATTTATTTGAACTGTGTATTTATTTTACTTTAAAATATAATTTGATCTTTTAATTTTTTATTTTTTATTTATATAGTACTCTCCTCCCACCTAATCTTATTTACGTATCATTGTAATTAACATTAAAAATATCTTTATATTTTTGTATAATATTTTGCATAAATATATTATAATAGTATTATAAAATACTGATAAAAGTATTTTTGTCAAAGTAATTAAGACTTTTAGAATCGGACGGAGATAATATAATTTATTCTAATAATGTTTAATTATGATTATATAAATAATCCTATGTATAATAATATAATCATTTAAAATTTAGCACTCATATAGTATAACATATAAGTAAAAAGTAAAATGAAATACTATAGAAACTTAATTAGAAAAATAATACAAGGCATTGACATACATTATTACTTCTTATTATAGAGGTAATAAAATTATTTATTATAAATATATTATAGATAAATTTATCGAATATTTAAAAGACAACCTATATAATCATAGCGGACATAAAAATAATATGTTACTTATATGCTCAAAATTAGTTTTACTATCGCTACGGGTTTCCATCGGAATTTTGTCTGAAACTTTCCCCCTCAAACATAGTTCACTATCTATTGGGTTTCGACAGATATACTCACTCGAACCGAACATACATAAATATATATATTATTGGATTAAAAATCTAATAATTGTGGGTTAAATATAATTATTTGGGTTATCAGTCAGATTAAACCTATATTAAATAATCTATAGGCTTAAATGTGTTTAGTAAATGTGAGTCTCCAGAAACCCGTAACTTATTAATTGGGTGATGAGGCCAATTAATAATAACATATATAAATAGGGTTGTGATTCAAGTCTAGAAGCAACAATCATTACTTTCCATATCTCATCGTGGAAGTAACAGCAGAAACTCTAGCGATTTTCTCAAGAGGGATTGTGCTAGGCTTGAAGAACACAAAACCCTTTATCAATTTGCAGATCTGAATCCGACTATACTGAGAAATAAAGTTAGATTTATTTTGCTTTTATTTTCTTATCTCAATTATTACAACACGGTAGATCCTTGGTTAAATTCTTGATAAGTTTCAACATATATATGTTCGACATAGCTCGTGCGTTGTATCGTATTCATACATCCGAAACGTAAAAAAATCAAAATCCCGTGTTCGATATGTCGCCAAAACACATCGATCGATCGATCTAGAGGATAGAAAACAACTCTTGATTTAAAGAAAACAGCATATGCATTCAAGATAGAGCATGCTATATATCAATATCATTATTCCTCTCCAATTAATCCCAACTGAATTCGGTATACATCTGGAGATAAATCTTCTCCAGTAATGTTCTTGTTAGTGTTTTCGCTCGCGCAGGGGCGAGCAACGACACTCGAATGGTAAAATAATATACCAGAATCATATATATTTTTTAAAAAGAAAAAAAAAAAGAACGACAAAACTACTTATAATACATGTGATTTAGAAGTCTGCACCATGCTTGTTTATAATTTAGAAATTGTTCGGACTTTCTTGTGTTTTAGAAAATATTGCACAGAATTCCTAAAAATTGCGCAAGGAAAAAGGAATTATGTGCAATATTTTTCTAAAATACAAGGAAAAATCGTGCGATTTCTAAATTATAAGAGCAGACTTTTCAAATAACACGTGGATTATGAGCACTTTTGCCAAAAGAAATAAGGAAATAATGTCCGGTCCGGCATAATAGCGTAGAACATGAAACAAATCACGAAATTTACCATCGTCAGCGATGATCACCTCCGCCGGTAATAGCTAGAGTCCTGCAATAACATTAGACGAGTGAAAATGTAGTTTGAATCGAGAGACAATAGGGTTGCAAATATGCGACAGAAATATAAATGAAATTTTATTACAATGGGATGAAAATTAGTACCAAGAAGCACATATATATATATATATATGTAAAAACATAGTATGATTAGTGTACAACAAGAATGGCCTGAAAGCGTAATGTCCCTAAGTCTACTACGATTATCGAAACAAATTAGGAAATAGACAACGAATACGAAATCAGGACATATGGGAAATCCTCGAGTGATAAAGATTGTAAGAATACAAGACAAAGAAAAGAGAAACAAAAATAACATTGCTCTTTCGCCTATCGACAATAATCTTTAAGACTATTAAATTTAAAATGAATATAACGAATCAAAAATTCCCTATGTTACCGAGAAAGATTTTTTTTTTTTGAAATAATGAGTCGATGAATCAAATTAACATTTATTACAATGAAACTAAAGACTGTCTACATCATCATAAACAAGGATCATCTTAGGATAGCATAAATTCGCACATATAAGACTCCACTACACTAATCTTGTAAGAAAACCGACAACTATCCATCATTTCGATTCCACATTCTATCGAATAACACCACCAAAGTCTACAATCGATCCGACATCATCAAATCCGGAAAAATTAAAAATCACGCCAAACTAAACAATTTAATAATGCTTCTAACATTAATACTAATTCGATCATCAAAAGTGCAACCGGCTAGCGGATTCGGTGCAAATAAACAACAATTACAGCAATCAAGAATCAAATTTTAACCAAAACTACAATCAAATCATCAAAGCCATAAAAATTAAACGATCACAACAAGCTAAACAACCTAGCAATGCTTACGATCATCAATAATCGTGCAATCGGCTAGCAAATTTGATAAACTACAAGTCCGGAAATCAAGCATCGAAATTGAACCAAAACTACATAATCAAAGCCTTAAAAATTATATGATCACAACAAACTAACCAATCTAGCAATGCTTCAACATTTATATATGATCATCAATCATGCAAACGGCAAGCAAATCCGATAGTGCAAATAAACTACAATTTTACGGCAATCAAATTGAACCAAAACTACAATCAATCCTACATTATCAAAGCCATAAAAATCAAACGAACACACCAAACCAAACAATCAAACAATGTTTCGACAATAATACTAATTCGATCATGGCTAGCAGATTCGATAGCGCAAATAAACTACAAATAATGGCAATCAAGAATCAAAATTGAACCAAACCCCCGACGCCTCAGGTCACCTGCCACACATGGTTCGCCTAGTGTGACTTTCCTGTCGGGCCTGGTTTGTAGGATATTAGGTTTGGCCGAGAGTTTACCCAGTGTGCACTTTTGGGTAGCGGTTGCGGATTCCCACGTCATAAAAAAAAAAAAAAAAAAAAAAAAAAAAAAAAAAAAATTGAACCAAAACTACAAAAATCCTACATTATCAAAGCCATAAAAATTAAACAATCACACCAAACTAAACAATCAAACAATGCTATGACATTAATTTAAGATCATCAATCGTGCAAGCGGCTAGTGAATTAGATAAACTACAATTCCGGCAATCAAGCCTCAGAATAGAACCGATACAACAATCAATCCTACATTATCAAAGCCATAAAAATTAAACAGTCACAACATACTAAACAACCAAGCAATGCTTCGACATTAAAATACGACCATCATCGATCATGGCTGGCGGATTCGACAGCGCAAATAAACTACAAATTATGGCAATCAAGCAGCAAAATTAAACCAAAACTACAATCAATCCTACACTATCAAAGCCATAAAAAATCAAACGATCGCAACAAACTAAGCAACCAAGCAATGCTTCGACATTAAAATACGATCATCGATCAAGGCTAGCGGATTCGGCAGCACAAATAACCTACAAATTATGGCAATCAAGCAACGAAATCGAACCAAAACTACAAATAATCCTACATTATCAAAGCCATATAAAATCAAACGATCATAACAAACTAAACAACCAAGCAATGCTTCGACATCAAAATGCGATCATCGATAATGCAACCAGTTAGCGAATTCGATAAACTACAAATTCCGACAAAATTGAACCAAAAGTACACTCACTTCTTGTGGCGGCGACTCCGCTTGGGGCCCCAACCTTCGAGCTTCGAAATCGGGCAGCCGCATTTGTCCCGAAACAGCAGCACGGCGCGGCCATTAGGAGGAGCCATCTTCCTCAATTCAGCGCGCAGACATTCGTAATCTGGATTGTCCTCAGTTCCCCCCTTCCATGGCAGCTCATTCACATCCCGAACAGACTTATTCCCATTCCCAATTCGCAGCAAATCCTCCCCCTGCAGCTGCAAATCGAACTCCATCTCCTTCTTCAATCCTTTGCAGTCTTTCTTCCCACACCTTCGCGATCTATGGCCGCAGCAGATCTCAAAGGAAACTACGAAAGTTGCGAAGAGGACAACGAATGAGGAGAAGAAAATCAGCTGCGATTCAGGGTTGGAAATTAGATGGTAATGGAGGTGTGAGATTACAGTTGAGAAAGGGGGCAAAATTAGGGTTAGGGATTGGAAGAGGTACGAGAAATAGGAGACGATTAGGAAAGTTCCGGAGCAGAGAACGAGGATGAAGATGAGGATGTCGAGCGTGGCGGAGGGGGAGTGTCTGCAGGCGGAGGAAGGGAAGCTCGGTGAACTCTGGTGGTGGTGGGCGGCGGCGGCGGAGGAGGAGGAAGAGGGTTTTCTGAGGGAGGAGGAAGGAGCCATGGCGATGGTGGACCGGAGGAGGAGATGGCGCATGTTAGTGAGAGAAAGTGGCCGGAGGAGTGAGATTTTTTCAGAGGGGAGAAGGTATTTCAGGTGGCGACGCGGAGGTGCGCATGTTAGCGTGGCGGCAGACTGTGGTAGTGCGCACGTTAGTGCAAGTACAAAAATCTTTGCTAATTAATGAGTAAATTACAGAATTTTGTTCATTTACTGCGTTTTGGATAATTCAGCTGTGAGTAACTGAAGAAGATTTTTTGTCTTATTTAATGTTTGTATTTGGATTTCGTATTAAAAATTTGAATTAAAATAGAATTTGACTAAATATTTTTTTAAAAAAAAATATGTTTTTTTTATTTAATAATTTAAAAATATATTACTAATAAATGATACGAAGCGTTTAAATAGATACTGTTTTTTTACATTGAATAAAAAATGGTATAAATATTAATTTTTTTTAGGAACGGTATTCGTGCGATTAAAATAGCATTTATAAAGTAATTGAAGAAATTAAAGTGAAAGTATTTGACATCTATATTTTATTTTATTTTAATTTTTGGTAAATTTGATTTTAAAGTATTTTTACTACAGTCACGTATTATTCTCTATAAATAATTAGATTTAAATTACGGTATATATTAAAACACAGCTTACTTATAATCTTTTCTTTTTTTAAAAAAAAAAAAAAAACATAGATCCTACTCATAATTTTTTGGTTTTTACAAAATATAATTATACAATAATTGTACTTTAATATAATATTAATTTTAAAATATTTAAAAATATCTTTAATTTTAATTGGAAACAAAATTTACATGTGTTTAGTCTATATTTGATCCCGTTTGTTATTTTTTTATGATGAAATTAAAATTTACTAAATTATCTATAGTGAATAAATTAAGGCTTTTTTAATTCAAAGGAGATGTATTTTAATTTTTTTTCTACTATTTAATATTTCAAATAAAAATATGTTAAATCTTACAAAATGTACAAATTAAAAAAAAATTACAAAAATACTTTTATTAGTATTTGTACAAATATAAAAATATTTTTTTATATTAAATACAGTAACGCATAAAGTAAAATAGAGTATTATTATTTTTATATAAAAAATTATTTAAATAAAACACATAGCCTAAACACTCCATTTCTAGCCACATATGAAAGTTATAAATCAATTCTCCAAAGACATACACAAGAAGGATAAACTTAGCCAAATACTAAACCTATTAGATACAAACATCGACGAACGTCATTCAGACATAACCAAGCAGATATAAACATACGTTCCCCACGACCTGTTCGGCTCGTTAAGACACGTGGCTTTATTACAAGTGGTACGCAGCGACGACCCCGGACGATCAATAAAATTCACGATCCGGGAGGATAAGAGGCGCGACGAGGGACCAAATGTAGAGCCCGGCCGTGACCCATTCGGTGCACATACGAACCCAGACGGACGTCCAGCCGACATCGATAAGGTGGGGCGTTTCGGACGAGCTCGTCCATCCCGACAGGAGCATCGCCGAGTACATGCTCGCCAGCGTAAATATCAGGTGGAAGAACGAGTACGAGTAGCTCACCGGTTGCGCTGTCGCGTCTTTCTTGCCATTCCCCGATTCCATATCGGCCGACTCCAGAAGCGGTTTCTTGTCGCCTGCGACCAAATATTTCACGATAAGCTAGCTCGTGTAGCGAGCGAACAAGTGAGAGAGAATAATACCGAAGATATTCGGCAAAATTGTTTATAACCTATTTGTAGGTTCAAAGGTCTGTATTGTTTTGTAAGGGAGGACACAGTTCGATTATTTGCAAATGTGCATGTACTTGATATATAAACCGAACAAATACCCGAAATCGCAAATCGTATCCGAATCAAAAATTTTGATTAACCGAAAATATTTGCAATATTTGTAAATAACTCGAACTGAACCGAAATTAAGAAAAAATATATTAAAACATAATTAAAATTCTAATTAAATAAAACTATTTGCAAATATTTTAAATATCCGAAGCAAAACCGAACCGAATAAAATATTAAAAACCGAAACCAAATCGAACAAAACAAATACCAAACATGCAGTATTTATATTCAAACAGAATTTACTCGGTTAACCAAAAATCCGATTCGGTTCAGTTCGATTCGATTATTTTGCCCAACGCTATTGTTCTTACTCATATTTTTGCAACCAAGATTTCATTTTTATGGATTCTGTGCAAAATTTTTAAAACACGACAGTGACTTATGTAAATTTAAAAAAATTCCGTACAATTTCTAAATCATGAAAGAGTATAGTGCAAACTCTCCAGAATACAAATGGAGAGTTCAGAAACTATATGAAGACTCCAAATATTTAAAAAACATAGCACAAAATTCCTTTTATACGAGATTTTTGCAATATTTTCGAAAACACGAGAGAACATCATGCAATTTCTAAGAAATTCTTAACAATATTTTATAAAACATAACTTCTAAATCACGAAAGAATATGGTGCAAACTTTTCAAACAACAAGTGGATTATAAGAAAGTTTACAGTACCTGCTCGAGGAGAAGAGGGAGGAGATAAAAATGTTGTCGATGATCCGGCGCGGAGGGCGGAGTACAAAATGGATAGGACAGTCGTGAGCATTCCGAGGATGAGAGTGCTGGTGGAGATGGCAGTCGACTTGTGGAGGCCGTTGCAAGCGTAGCCCCGAGGCTCGCTAGAAAGACCCGTGTAGCAGACGTAAGCACAGTAAACGGAAATCACGGATGCCGGCAGGAGGCTGCCATTGACCTGTTCAAATTGCCAGTTAAGAAAAAAAATTGACACTATTCGTTCACCGTAATTTTTTTAAAAAGCATCGCATGAAATGCCTTTTTATTTTCACAAATGTTCAGCATCCAATACAATTTTTTACTATTTTCAAAATTTTCTAAAACTAAAAAACTTATGTCTAAGCAGAGCCAAGTTTCTAGATGATAACACAATCAAAAAGAAGGTCTTGACCGTAAATAAAACTTACCTTGGGATGCAATGCAATAATGGCGAAGGAGAAAGCAAGAATCATCGTCATCACGATGAAAAAGACGTTGAGGCCACAGTCTTGCCCGGATGGATTAAACCAGAGGAATAAAACTATGGAGAAGCCGTATGTCGCAAGATAGCAAACCACAGACACAACGAGCAGCAAAACATACCTGAAAGTACCACAGACATTGAGATTAAGTGGTTAATTGCCTTGAAGAAAAAACAGGGACATGATACTCGGGAACTCACCATTTCTGCTCGTCTTTAGCAACCAAGGAATCGTTCAATGAGTGTGTCGCATCTAATAAAATTAGAACTTGGACCAACAAGAATAGACCAGCACCGAATTTCGAAACAAATCCTACGCAGCATAATATCAAAACAACATTATGAACAGAAAAAAAAAAAAAAAAAATTATCAGTTTTCAACATACACGAAATATGACATTAGACGGCGCAAGAAACCTCAACATAAGTTTTTCCATAAGCATAAATTGATTTACCAGAGACTCAATGAGCATGAATGATGATTCTCGGCAATTTTTTTCACATATGACAGATATAACTGCTAAAAGTACTAAGGGGAAGAACACTGACCGTATACATCAACAACAACGTTTGGAAGGAAAAACATGAGGACAATGAGCAAAATCCAAACAATTATTTTAACCATCCATCCGCCATGGTGCCATGAATCCCGCCTGTCGTTTTGATCCTTGACTCCAATCATTATTAGAGCAAGTACTCCAAAGAACACGAAATTCGCCAAGCTGACACGAAGAACTGCTTGCATCTGAAACCACTCATCCGTTAGGTTTTCCTCAGTATTTATCCCTGTAGAGCGGATCCAATGAAGATCAATTTTCATTCACCAAAAATTGAATCACATTCAACAAGTTCAATTAAACACTAATCAAGTTCGAAAAGAACATGACATCCTCAAGCTATGATCATCATATAATTGCATAAAAATTCGCGCATATACGGCTCCACTAACACTAATCTTGTCCGGGTCAATGAGCCGAAAACTATCCCTCAACAATCCATCATTTCCATTCCACATTCTATCGAATCACACCACCAAAATTTACAATCGATCCTACGCAATCAAAGCCGGAAAAATTAATGATCACACCAAACTAAACAATCAAACAATGCTTCGACATTAACATATGATTATCAATCGTGCAAGCGGCTAGCGGATTCGACATGACTAAACAAAGCCATATTTTTAACAGCAAAATCCTCAAATAAAATACAAAAAACACAAGCCCAATTTCTAAAAAACATATAGGCTCTGTTTACATAAACATTTTTTGAACTTTCTGCAATACTTCATCAGTAATTTTTTCCAAAAACACGGCATCAAATACCTTATACCTTTCCCAAAATTTTCCAAAACTTTTGAAACTTCAATCTAATCGGAACCATAGTTTGTGGTGAGTATCTAAACAAAAGAGATGCTTAATAATAAAGTTGTTACTTTGTCAAGAAAGGGAAACATAAATTGACCTAAAAAGTCATATCGAAACACATTTTTCATTCAAAACATCGAACCAGTGCGTGTTAATCAATAAAAAAAAATTCAAACAAAAGAACTCAAATCAATCCACAATATACAATACAAGAAAGCAACTAACTAAAGCAGCAAGTATATTCCATACTCAATTTCAAGATAATACACAAAATAAGTGACATCAAAGAACAGGAAAATAAAGTTCAGGTTCGCACAGTAAGTTAAAAGTAATTAAAACGAAGGCCAGTTCAGAAAATCTCCTGAAAACCTAAATCCCCAATTATACAGAAATCCATCCTATAAGGTCACGAATCTCGAAAATTTGAAATCAAATCCCTAATAGGTTTGTTTGTCGAATCACTTACAAGAGAAATTTTTGAGGAGAGGCGCAGCGACTTCCCGGAGAACCCAAGACACAATCAGCGAGGCACCAAACAAGAGGCAGTAGCCAATTCTTGCAGAACGGTTCGCGATGCCGGACGTCACCGAGGTGCAGAGTCCGCACGTCATGGACGCGCAACAGGAGGCCAAACACGACATCGTTTCGATCTCTCAGTTCGTCGATGGTGATCGATGAAGATGAACTTTGGGGCAGATAGAGGCTTGGGATTGGAATTGCGATTATCAATCGACGATTCAAAGTTGAAACTGTGGACCTATTGGATTTTTTTTTAAATAAAATAAAAAAAACTTAGCCTTGTGCTTATTAAATATGTTTTTTTTTAATAAAAAATTAAATATTTAGCTTTAATTTTTTTCTAACAATAATTTCAATTGTACAAATAATTAAAATAAAAGAATGTAATCGTTCTATCTAATATCTTATTTAATCTCTTAAGAGCAAATTTAAAAAAAAAAAAAAAAAAAAAAGAAACATTACATTCAGTAAGTTTGTACAACATTAATAATTATATTATGCTCTCTCCTTTTCTATATTTGTCATGTATTTTTTTTAAAAAAAATAATATATTTATATTTTTATCAAATATGTAAGTATTAATTTGATGTTTTCAATATAGAATTAATTTTTAATATAATATGAGAAATAAGTGTTTTATCTGATATTTTTGAAAAAATAAATTGATGAATAATAAAAATTTGATTAAATTTTATAAACAAAGGCAACCTTTGTAAACTTGAAAATTTATATTTGTTTAAAATGCATTTATTGAAGAAGTTATTGTTCATCGGGCGACATCTGAATTTTTAAATTTGTATCAAAATAAACAATAAATATCATTATCATTTGAACAAAATAATTTATTTGATTTTTTTATTTAAATAATATTTGAATATAATATTTAGTAAAAAGAATAAATAGTTCTCTTATTAATAATATATTGAAGATTTGTATTTCAAACTGAAATTAAATTCCAAACAGCTCTCTCTCTCTCTCTATGTATATATATATATATATATATATATTAAACTAGACATTGGGAATATGTTTAGAAAAGACTTAAGACTTATCATGGGATGTTGAGGGATTTTCATGAGCCTAATAAATCCATCCCAAATCATATATAGTCAGTCAAGAAAACACAGTAAAGGCCCAATCTTTAGTATGCTATGGGACTTCTCTATTTTGTGCAAATCAAGATTTTAGAGATAAACTATGGAATTTTTTTTTAATGTAGCCTAACATGGTAAAATATTAAAATTGCAATCATCACTGATTCTTGATTCTAAATAAACCAAAAAGACACTCATATTTATATATATATATATAAAAGAATCGTAAGACCACTAAATTTTTTATGGCTAAATTGTATGCTAGTTGTTTAATGAAATTGCTTCAAATTTCTATCTTTTTAAAACAGAGGCAAACTTTTTCGTGATTTTATAAACTCTGCATCTAACTCCATCGACGGTTCTTATTTAATGGTATTTGACCTAAATGCGCCGAAACTGCGAATAAATTTTAAAATCTCAATTTCTAAACCCTAAAATTACAAACATATTTATTTTTCTTATATTTACCCTTAAAAAATAGTAAAAATAAACTATTAAAACATGAGAAAAACAACTATTTTTTTTAGTATATTTACTATTTTTTAAGACTAAATATAAGAAAAATGAATATATTTGTAATTTTAGGGATTTAGAAATTGAGATTCTAAAATTTATTCGCAGTTTTGGGGCATTTAAGTCAAATATCATTAAATAAGGGTTAGACGCAAAGTTCATGAAACCAACAATTTTAGAAATACAGGGGATGAGAATTTGGCACATTTGAAGCAATTTCATAAAATCACATGTAAGTTTTCTGCAATTTAGCCAAAAAATTTTAAGGTAAAAGATTGCAAATTCTTGTAGATCAAATTTGAAAAGTTCTTACCTTGTGCAAAAACTTGCCAATCAATGGCAAACCTTCAAAGATGGTTCTTGAAACTGTGTTCCCAGTCAAGACACAGGTCGATCTGTCCCACAAACATCGTTTACTAGTTACTCGGTAGTTTCCAGCAATCCATCTGTTCCTCAAAGCATCATCATCATCATCATAATTCAAGATAAAAGCATATACTTTATCGAAAAGAAAGAGAGAAGGAAACAAGAAACAATATCAACAACAGTAAGAAGCACCCCCACCAATTTTCAATCTCATAACCCAATTAGAACTGATTGCTACTCAAAAGAGGAATATTGTGAATGAGGTGTTTCAGTTAGTCACATCCTAATTTAGAGATAGAGCAACTTTATTTGATCCCATTATTGTACTTTACCAAAGCCCTTTTATTTGTAAACAAAATGCCACAGGGTAATCAGACCCCCCCACCTCCCCTCCCCCCACCACTCCTCTACCCCTACCCCCCAAGTCTTTTCTTGAGTTCAAACAGCATTCCAATGGTAGAAAACAACACCATACTTATGTCCCAATGTTGCCTGCCTAGCCACTTGTGTTCTTCTTATTGGACACTAACCAAACTCTCCCTACCTCAACAATCTCTCTCTCTCAGAGAGAGAGAGAGAGGGGCCACAGGTAATTATCACAACCAGGAGATTTTGAGCTTATATTAGCTGGATGTATTATCACTGATGGAATTTTTAAGTTTCTTTTTTATCACAAGGTCCACCTTGGATCACATTCTGTTGATCAAGATCTTATCTTTGATTCTTTTGCTTTAACTCAAGATAAGATATCTTACTGTGAAAACTCCCTCTGCCACTCTTTTTCTTGGCACAAGAACACTATTTTTGGCATATGAAATCGATAGGTGATTTTGACAAGTATATATATATATGCATACGCGTGTGTAGTGTATACACATACATGTATGATGCAAAGCAACCTAGCAATGTACGTAGAGTTCAGGGAAGGAATAATCAAGACATCATTCAGTATATAACATATCTACTTTTAAAATATGTAATTGAAAAAATATTATCATCTCATATTTTACGTAACTACAGTAAGTAGATAATGCATGAATGGAAGCATAATTGTGTGACTTTTAGCCATGCACGCATAGTTATAGACATACATGGACAACACTAAGCAACCTAAGAATATATGTAGACTTAGGTAAAGAATAATTAAGACATCATTAGGGTGCCGAATCTTCAGAATTTGATGGTTTTTTTATAATGGTAAAGAGGAAAACGAATAAAATGGTGTGAGTGATATTATGCCACATATGATCATTACAAAATGGAAACTGTAAGCATCCAAAAACTTTCCATGACTGTGGCCTCAAGATTATAGCTACGGTCCAAATAGAAGGGGCCCTTTCATCAGATTTTTGAACTAACCTGAGGCTGCAGTTAACTGAGGATGAAGTACTGGAGGAACCCCAAGATAGTTTCGTCGCCAATAGAAGTCTGAACCTGAAAATGAATGTGTCTAAGAAACTTGTTGATTAGTTAAGTGATTTAATGTGGATTAAGATAGGGTTAGTGCACGTGACGGCTGTGTATTGTGAGGGCACAACATGTCCCCACAACTCAGCCCTCATCAAAGCCTGCATGTAGATCCAAACTCAGGCACTTCAATTTTCCTGCAACAGTTGGCTGCAACAAAGTCAATAAATAGCGAATCTGATTAAGAACTACGAGTGGTGTGTGATCTGAAACCACGATGAAGAAGACACTCACAAAGTGGAAAAGAATGCTGAAACAGATGAGGGGAAGACTGTATATCATTAGAGTTTGCATTACTATGCTTATCTGCTGGGACAAGTATTCTTGAAGTTAAATATATATATATATATATATATACATGTATATATACCTTTTGATCGATGTCTTGAGATCCTTGGTCTTCCTCTTCTTCTTCATATATTAGCCCCCTTTTCTCATATACAGCCTGCAGGTTTGTCAGATAGGTGGAGACTCTCGACTAGATGATTATATAGTCTCAAGAAGAGTTGTGACTATTGGTGAGTTTTTTGGGGGATACTAATGAAAGTTAATTTGGTAGTGAGAGTTTTAGGACAGCACTAGATATCTAGTTAAGTTCTTCCGATTCTGGTTTCTCCCTTCTTCCCTATACATGCACTTTGAACACAACAGCCGATCAGTGATCCAGCCAGGGCAACATGAAAGATGATCGAGTGACGAAGCTGTGCAGTAAACTAGGCATAAATGTATCTACATGCATAGAATGTAATGTATATGTAGCAAAATTTGAAGATGTATAGATGTTTTTGAATCCAGGTAGAATATGCATAAATGTATCTACATAAATGACGCCAATAGTTCAAGCTTAATGTGAATAAAACTCAGCTGGTTCTACCTCTTTTTAAGGTTTCTTGAGAATTTATCCATACCGAGCAGATGTTTCCGTCACTTAAATCTTACAATCTAATAAGTTACAAGCAATAGAAAAGGGAAACAGGTGAGATTCTGGAGTGATTAAGAACATCATCATTCATCAGAGTAGAAATCACCTTATGCTCCTTGTGTAATAACACATGAATAGAATTGAATACTATTTTAACTTTTCCCCGACCCAAAAGTCAGCAATTCCTCTATTAACAAATAGAACTGCAGATGACCTTTATTATTAGTATTTTTTAACAGGGTTCTTCAAGACATGAGCAATAAATGCATATGCAATAGCCCTACTGTACATTATCACAAATGTCACCAACATGTATAGAAAAATTTAAGTTATCCATGAAAGTGAGGACATTGCTAATCCTTTAGGTTGAGACAAGGAAATAAGAATAAGGTTTTATTAAATTCAGACGAGTCATTTTTCGATGGAATTATGCAGGGAGACAAAAACTAATGACTATGCATATTCTATCTTGTACAGACAATGGGGCCCTTTTGCAAGTTGGCATCAGAGTCCCCAACATCTCTCAACCACTACATATACAGCACTCATACAAACAAGACTCTTATTACCTCTATATATACCAGTCTTTCACTATCCTATCTTTCTGCACCATTGCACATTCATTCTACAATAATTTAGCTTACAGACATTGTCCATTTCTTTGTCAATTCTTGATACTAAGACTCCGAGTGAAAGATCCCAGTGTAGAATTGCCACTGATCATATAATCTCTCTCCATATATATACCCTAAAAAGTTTTGCCAGTATCTTGAAACCCAAAGCTTTCAGTTTAGTGACATGGGCTTGACAAGAGGTCAGAAGTTCCGGGTATGGAAGAAGGTTGCTAGTTGCATTCAAGAGCAAAGGACACGCCTATACATTGTATGGAGGTGCACTATTATTCTCATACGATGGAAGCTGGATGGGGTGGGCTCTAAAGACTGATAAAGGAAGAAGGAATAGCACATTGCACATGCACAAGGAGATCGAGGGATTGGGGCATGTAGGGTGTGTGTGTGTATACTGCAGCTTAAGGCCTAATAGACAGAAACTCTAAAGTGTCTGGCAAATCAAGGCTAAGGTTTGAGCACACACACATATATATATATGCAAGTAGTTCGATATATACATACCCAGTTGTCTGTAGTATTAGCTTTGGGGTAGTTTGGAGTGTACATTAATAGTGAGAGTAGATTGAAACAAGATTTTGATATATGCATTTTTCTTTACGAGTTTCGACATTAGGAAGCTATGTTATATGAAATTCAATATTGCAGTGAAATAGCAAATAAGCAGTCAGACATAAATGTAAAATGGGAAAACAAACAAAGAAAAGCTTAATGATATGCAAGATTTGCAGCCTTGTCGACGCAATCAATCACAAATGAGTTATGGTATATATTGAAACAAATGAGTTATGGTATATATTGAATACAAATGAGTTTAAGTAGAACATAACTTAGGCTTCTAACTAACAAAGGTGGCTCAAGAAAGTCTTCTCCAGAAAAATCTGATTCTACTTTATTGCAGCCAAAAAAAAAATGGGTAAAAACAGAAACAAAAATAATTTACATATATCAGAGGTGGGTCTGAAAAACTGCACAACATTCAATCATCATTCCTTACTCGTAGTTATAGTACTTCTCTGCAGAATCTGGATGTCTTCATTCTTTACAATCCTATTAAATGCAGAATCATCCTCGTTGAATTTCCTGGGGGTTTGTCCTGATTTATTCGGGCCTCCCTGAAAGAATATAAGAAAAGCATTTATGAAGTTTGAACAATTAATCAGGAGAGAAAAATGAATGACCAAATAAAATAAGGTCCTACTCCTACAATGGCAGGAAGCTATTGTCATGTACTTCTATTACTGCATCTCTTTGAAGATATTTTATTGCACGTTATTTTGATCAGCACACATAAAGAAGTAGAATAGTTTTCTCGAAGAAATTTACTAAAAGAACCAGTAGATAAGTTTACTTACAACTCCTTTATGGACATAATTTAGCCTTCGACTTGATGGTGCACGAGCTATTGATGAAGCAGCAGCAGCAGCTGCTGCCACACGTATCCTGCATCATGACAACATGTAACGTGATTACATTTTCAGTAACCAAAACGTTGCAGTTTGGAGGTCCAATTTTGCATACCTATTGTGGACATCAACAAATTCATCTGTTTCATCGACGATTTCCTCCTGCATTGACAGAAAAAGGTTGGAATGGAAGTCCATCAGCATGGTATGGAAAAGCTAAAGTAGGGGCTGAACAAACTCACCTGCAAAAGTTCTTCAAATACATCTTCCAAGGTGATAATACCAATAACTTCACCATCTACGGATTCTTCTGCTGAAGGGGCGAATCCATCAACAACTGCATCATTATGTGTTTTAGTGGCATGTCTTGGGGTCCTTTCGACATCAACAACAACAGTATCCAGTGTTTCTTCTATATTTGACAGCAATGGAACAGTTATGTCTGAATCTCCATTTTCAGATTTTCTTTCCACGGGCTTCTCGGATATAGACAGGGGTCTTCTGTGTTTTCCTTTGGACTTCACCACAGCTGCCATATGACTGCTGCCTTTCTGAAACTCGTTGAGTATGTCATACAGGGGCATGTCTGCTGGGACACTGGGAAGAAACTGTTTAAATGAATACTTCAGCTTAAGAATATGATCCATAAATAAATCAATAAATAAATTCTATACCGTGGAATCCTTCGAATGGAAACTGAACTCACTGGAGTCTCTGTTTCTGCTCTCACCGTCAGAAGACTCTTTACCTATTATTACAATGTTTCAAGTGTCATAAAAACATACATGGTAAGAAATGTACACTTTCCAGAAGGCTACCAATAGAAGTCCAATAATGTTCTTTGGGTTCCCTGAGTAGACAGGAACTCGGCTATGTCCACGTGCCAATATTTTTCCCATTGCTTCCCTGAGAGGACACACTTTTAATGTCAATTCTACCTTACATAGTTCATCTAATTGTAGAGGAGATAAATTTGAAAGAATCTACCAAGTGACTGCTAATTACAGCATTTAACAATAATAAATATACATTGAAGTATTGGATTTCAACATGGATCAGCCAATTAGGATTTCTTACCAGTTCAACTTTGAATTGACATCCAAAGAGAATGTGGACTCAATTGGTGTCATGGCCTCTTCAGCTGTCTATTTGGAGTTAAAGAAAAGGGGGGGAAAAGAGCATGAAATGTTTAAGTCAAGATATGATATCAGCTTCAATAACAATTCAACAAGACGTAATTAAGTTCCACAAAAAAGAGCATAACCAATGCATCCTCAAGTATGCACGTAAAGATTCTCACACATACCTTCTCAGTCAAATCTAATGCCCCACTGATAATTGTTGTCTCATCACGAGTGAGTTCCCCGCCTTTGCCAGCCTACAAATGCAATGAATCATTCAAGACATTTAAGGAAAATTTCAATGCTGGCATTTCCTGCATATTAAAGAATTGGGAAAAAAATAAAACTATACGTATGTACTGTCACCTAATATACATTGATTTTGTTTCATTGTTCACTATTGTAACTGCATCTAAGGCATTCTCTTATTAGTTTAAAATATTACCTCCTGGCTGTGGATAGAGACAAGGGCTTTCAGCTGCGCTCGTCGAAACAGTGCTTCATCATGTCCCAAAACAAAGTCGAGAATCTGGTTTTAAAAACTTAACCATCTAAGAATTCATGACTTCTACAAATAAGCATTGATATACTTCTCTTGAATATCAAACCAGATCAGATCTAGACAATAAATAAAAACTCAGAGCTTCTTTGCCATGATTTTACCTTGGGAATGTACTGATATTACCTTTCCAATAGGGTATGAAACGGGGTAGCAGATAACCATCAGAATCTGTACAAGCCAAACTAAATTTGCACCTACTGCAAGTCCATATCTACTGCATATGGCTTGAGGAATAACCTGACAATATTGCATAATACAAAAGTAACAATCGGAGCAATACTAACTGTGTATATATCTGATAAACACTTCAAACAAAGACTTCAATAAGTACCTCCCCAAAAAATAAAACGAAAGTCACAGAGAGTATAATGGCAACATATTGATTGAAAATTCTGTCCAGATATATTGGAAGTGCCTGCAAGATGCAAAAGTGACAAAATTGTGGAACTTACAGTGATTATCGGTGAATTCATCGTTATTTACACACAGTGCATTTATGCATATTTCAAAAGTCAGATGGAAGTAACAGAATTAACCTCCATGGCAGCAGCATTACACAAAAGCAATGTCACAAGAAGCTGATGCTGCTTCTGAACCACAGGAAGTATTTTTGCTGAAAACATCAAACTCAATGGGTAAACAGAAAATTCTTCTTGTCAAAGACTAATGAGAAACTTTAGAAGAATGCTTTTGATTTGAGATTAGAATCGTAAAAGACACAAGGGAAAGAAAATTGTTCCTCAAATTTCGGTAGCATAAGTTAAAACACACATTCTGATAATTACAAATCCCAATTACTACTAATTCGAGCATTGTAAACTGCTATAACAAAGCTAGTAATGTTGATTGCAATAGGTGAATTTGGTCTTTGCAAATTTCATTTTCTCCTTTTTATCATCAAACTGCTTCAAATTCTAACCAAGATAATATATACATATATATATATATATGAAACAAAAATCTCACATCCATGGTCCTGTCAAAACATCCGATTACATACCAGTATATATATATATAAATCTTCATCGCATTGTGATCAGAACGCGAAGCCAAACAAAGAAATTATCGCATAAACAATCAAACATCAACAATCTGCAAGTCAAACTACAATTCCACATGAAACGAAATTAAAAAAAAAAAAAAAAAAAAAAAAAACGTGCGAACCAGCTTGTTTCTTTTCCGACGAGGAGCCACTGCGCTCGAGGATCTCGAGGTCGACACGGCTTAGCGACATTAATCCCAGCGTGAGGCCCGACATTATCCCCGCAAACAGAACCAATATGCAGGAAAAGCCAGCGTAGGCGAACCACAAAACCGTGCCGAATTCGATCTCGGCGCCCGCAGAGCCGTCCACGCCACCGCCACCATTCCTGACGGCGGCCATGGACGCGAGCGCCACCGCGTTCATCAGATGCATAATGTTGTCGTCGTCTTCCGACGATGATGCAACGATGGTTTCTCCCCCAACGTGACTCCCCCGTTACTTATAAAAATGGGATTTGATTCACAAGTTGCGGTAAGGACGTGTTTGGCTTGTTCCGAAAAAACAAAAAAAAAAAAACAAGATTTTGGAAAATGATTGTCCGTTTCTTTATTTTTGGAAAACGATTGTTCAGTTCTTTTTGTTTTTGTTTTATTTATTTTTTTCAGATTTTTGTAATTATTATTTATTTAAAATACTTTCTCTGTAAATAATAGATAAATTATTATTTTAGTAAAATACATAAAACACTATATATTTTATTTATTGTGTCCACCTTTTGTTTTATGTAAAATTTGTACGAAACAATCATCCTTGTCCAATAGTTTATTCTAAATAAACACCTCAATTAAGCAAATTTAATACAATAAAAAAAAAAGATACAAGGTATCTTAAATAATTTTTTAAATGAAATAAATAAATAAATAATTGATTAATTTTTTTAAATAAATTATTGATAGAATCAAATATTTAAAATATTTTATTTTTTATTTATATAATTTAAATTTTTATTTAGAATCAAATATCAAAACATATTTAGATTTGAAGTCACTTTAATGTCGACACAACATGTTTTGTATGCCGAATGTTTTGTCTACTATAATAGTAGTCTATTTATTGCCACATACATTACATTGCATCCATCTCGATTTCAAACCATGAATTGAATTTAATCATGTGCAAATTCGAACATTCTTTTATATATATATATATATATATATAGTTCTTACAATGTCTTCGAATGTTCGACCATCCCCTCTCGACTATCAACACCCGAGTATGCAAATACTCGCCTCATTACAATCGAGTTTTCGATAATCTTGTTCTAATGATTGTGTCTACGATGCGCGACAAAACTACGTCGAACATCAAATGGATTATTCTCGTTCGATGGTTCATCAAGTTCGTTATGCTCGGAGCGCTCTTCGGGATCTTCATTTCTTGGATGATCGATCGACTAAACTTCCTAACTCTTCGAAAGAATCCCGTTGATATCAACCTCAATGCCTCCCGAGATTTAAATCGATCTTCGAAAGACTTCTACTTTCCAAGTAGTTCTTTCGAATCGTATTTGGAATTTCCTCGAGAAACGGCGATGAAGAAAGATTTAAATTCATCGACGGCGTGGATTTCCTCCGAGCTTGAGGCGAATTATTCATCCGCTATTGTTGATAAGTGGTTAGCTTCGCGCAACAAAAGTTGTAAGTTTTTTAAAACGGTCGATATCGAAGTTCCCGGTCTTGACGGTATTAAAAAAATTGAGCTATCGAGCGGCGACATCCATGGCTTCGTTTTCCGAGCAATCGACGAGTCGGGCGAACCCATTTGTTCTGGAGGCGATTATTTCGAAACTGATCTTTCGGGTGAAATATGGAAGGCTCGACCTCCGATTAACGACACCGGCAACGGAACATACACGTTTTCGCTTCAAGTTCATCCCGATTTTCCCGGCGAATATAACTTGACGATAATCTTATTGTTCGGGAATTGGGAAGGGTTCAAGCCGTCGCCTGAGAAATTATCCATGGACAAAGTTCTTCGGGTTTTTCGAATCAAATTCCATGAGTCCGCATCCGAGCCACCGTCTTTAAGACAATGTTGTAAGTTCGACTACCGGAAGGACATTTGGTCCGGTCGATGGACTCGTCTTGCAAGAAACGATACGTGCTCGATTAGTGACGACGGTAGATATCGATGCCACGAGCCAAGCTTTCCTTGCCGGAATCCATGGTGTGACGGTCGATTAGGCGCGTTGGAAAGCAACGGGTGGGTCTATTCGGCGCATTGTTCGTTCAAGATTTTCTCCGGCGACGAGGCGTGGAGGTGTTTAAAAAACCGGTGGATTTTTTGGTGGGGAGATTCGAACCATTGCGACACGATCCGGAACATCCTCCACTTCATTCTCGGCATATCGGATATGAACGTTGTGCCTCGAATGTTCGATCGAACCGTCGCGAATCCAAAGAACCCCTTCGAGACGGTGCGATTCACGAGCGTTTTCAACGGGCATCCTAACTTGACGGGGAATTATCATGGGTTGAATTCGTTGACGGACGTGAAGTATCGACGGTTGCTCAAGGGGTTCTTTTCGGGCCTCATTGTCCCCGACATGGTCATTATGAACTCGGGCTTGCACGACGGGTACTATTGGCCTAACATTACGAGTTACGTCAAAGGATCTGACTACGCTGCTGCATTTTGGGCCGAAGTATTGAAAAGTGTCGAGGGGCGAGGGGTGGCCCGGCCCGAAGTTGTGTATAGGACGACTGTGGCTACAGCGGGCCCAGCCCGAAGACTCGGATACAATCCTCAGAAAATGGAGGCTTTTAGTGGGATACTGATGGACAAACTGAAGCGACATGGGATTGTAGATAGAATTGTGGACGGGTTCGACATGACGTTCCCGTGGCACTACGACAACCGGTGCAACGATGGCATTCACTACGGTCGCGCGCCGTGGAAGATGAGATGGAAGGATGGCAAAATTGGGCATCAATATTTCGTCGATCTTATGTTGTGTCATGTGTTGCTTAACGTAATGTGCCTCAAATGATCGAGGTTGTATATAGATTGTAATAATGTGTTTACTATGAGTGGTTATTTTAATAATTCGAAGATTTTGCAGCATAATTTGAACATGCTATATGCTATAGTTACAAACAATACCGGTTAATAATTTATTAAATATTTGTATTGTGACACCCTACTAAATACTTTTTCAGTCCAAGTAAAAATAATTATGATTTAATAAAAATAATTATAAATTAAAAATAAATTATTTATAAATTATAAATTTTAAAATAAAATTAAAATATTTAATTATAATTAAAAATAGCGAAAGAAATAATGCGGAACAAACAGAAATACGATAATTATTTATAGTTCTTTTAATTAAAATACGATAATGAGAAACATTTGAGCCAAGAATATGTGGAAATGAAGCGTGGCTTGAGAAGAAGCTGGATTAGGGCTTTTCTTGATTTTCATTTATTTTCGCATCTGTCGTGTCGTCGTCTCCAAACAAACAAATCTTACAGCCGCAATCACTATTCACTGCAGAGTAATCATTGATCTATATATATATATTACTTCTGCTGCAAGAGAGGCTTGGGGGAAAATTGAAGAGTAAGAAAAAAAATTCCCAATTGAGGTAATTAATAATTTACGCCGCGTTTTAATTCGACAAATTCTACAGAACGTAGGGGAGGATCGGTCTGTGGGGATTTGTTGTCCTTCGATCGATTAGGTTAAAATCTTCGACATTTTTTTTCTTTTTTTTTTGTTCCTTCTGAAAAGGGGATTTCCCTCGGAACTGGTGGTTTTGTTATACATACGTCTCGGAAAAATTCAATCTGGCAAATTTAGGAGGAATAAATTTGAGGCCTCGCTTGTCGTTGAAGCAAGCTTTACCAGAGGATCCAGAAGACGAAGAGTGTAGGCCTTGGCGCAAAAAGATCTTCTTTTTCTTCCCGCATTCTGCGAAAATGGCTTTCAAATTCAGTTGGGGTTCTCTGCTGAAAGTGATCTTGCTTATGGTGTTGATTGGGGGAATTGTGTTTGCTTGCTTTACTCTGCCTGTTGAAAAGGTTAGATTAGGTTTTGTAATTTGGGAATTTTTTTGATTTCATTATGGTGGTTTGATGAGGTTTATTGGACTGATTTGAGTTTATTTTTGTTTATTTGTTTCTGCTATTGCTTTGGCTACTTGTGGTTTTACTATGCTTATGGCTGATTTTGGTTTAATTGGAGTGATATTGATTGGTTCTTGACTGTGTTTTGTGGAACAATTAAACTTATTGGATTGTGTTTTGGTTTTGTTTTCGGGTTTCTGATTGCTTTGGGTATTGAAAATTTTGTGGTGGAGATGGTGGTTTGAATGGAAAAGTTGCAATTAGATAAGCATTTTGGATTTTTGGTTTTGGTTTAGGATTAGTTAAAAGTTAATAGATGCGACTTAAATAGGTGTTTGATGTGATGGTTTGGATGGAAAAATCACGTCTGTATGTTTTGGGAGTGTTTTGGTTTGGTTTAGGAATAATAAAAGGTTTCATAGCACGTGTTTGATGCGACATAAACATGTATTAGATGTGGTGGTTCGAATGATAAAATTGCATTTAGATATGCTTTGGAAGCATTTTGGTGTTCTGGTTTGGTTTAGGAATAGTAAAAGGTTGAATAGTATGTGTTTGATGTGATGTAATCAGGTGTAAGATGTGATGTTTTGAGGAGAGAATTGGTTTTGGATATAATATGTTCAACAAATATAAATTTCGGATGCGATGTTTTTTAGTGAGTGTAGATATTGCGAAAACAAGTTTGAAAACATGAGTAAACGGAGGTGTTTGGAAAGTTCGAAATGAAAACATAAACACAATTAGATAATGTATTTCTAATTTGTGAGTTTTTAGCAAAAAAGAGGCATTGGAAGGAAACAACATTTGTTATTTTTCGTTGGATGATCGTAGTTTTGGGTAATATAAGCATCCTTGTATAGCTGCGGCGCTGCATTATGGTATAAAGGTAGTGAAAAAGATTTCTGTTTGTTTGATTATTTAATCTAAACCTTTGTTTTCGGCAGATACTCAAAGATTTCTTAGTATGGATAGAGCAAGATCTTGGTCCTTGGGGCCCTCTTGTGCTGTAAGTGTGGTTTTTTGAGCTTATACTAATCAATCTTTTTATTTTATATTTTTATTTCTGTGCCTAATGTTAGACACTGTTAAGCTTCCGTGTTTCAAGATGTAAAATAAAGTACATGAAAACCAAACATATATACAATGAGAAGTTCGGAAAGCGCAAATATGACCTTAACCTTAAGCAAAATTGAAATTAAGATGGACTGGCAAAAGTAAATCTTAGATTATGCATAAAGATTGGGTATTTTTATGTCGACGTGTTTTTGGAAGTTCAAATTAGGTTGAAATTTATCCCTTTCTTGATTATTCTCGACCTTAGTGTCTTAAATTTTTGTTATGTTTGCTTTTCATTTTTTACTTCCTAATTGAACATCTTCATGTGGAAACATATTTTTGGAGATTCGGCCTTGATTTTCTGTTCAATTAGTATGGTTTAAACTGAAGATTTTTTATAGGATTAAATATATTTGTTTCCGAGATATGTGTAAATTGTAAAATGATTGAAAGCTTTGCTCTAAATAATAAATGTCATATTCGATCGATTTTTTTCCCCCAATTTTTTACTATTTAGTCTCCCAATTTATTTCTGAAAACATCATATCTGGCCGTTATTTCACTTCAAAAATAACAAAATTCAAAACACATACCAAGTGAACAATCCCTATGTCTATACAATGTATGGTAGATTAGGTTGATTAATGTACTCGTGTTCTAGTAAAATTGGAATGTTGTTTCGAGTTCTAATGGATTGTAAATCTTGCAGAGCCATTGCTTACATTCCTTTAACGGTGTTGGCTGTTCCAGCTTCAGTATTGACGGTATGGATTAACGTGTTTTTAGATGCAATTTCATCCTTTTTGATTTCCAATTTTAAATTCAAAATCTGGTTTCCGATTATCTTGATACTCCAAATCATCGAATGTTCTAAATCAAAGCATCGGCAGTACTAATTACCCTGTTAAGAAATGAAGATATCTTAAAAATTTTATTTATGTTGATCTAAAGTGTGGATAGTTTAACATGCACGTTATATCTTTATCTCGTCATTTTTTTTTTTTTTTTTTTTTTTTTTGTCATTTTCAGCTAGGTGGTGGCTATCTCTTCGGATTGCCTGTTGGATTTTTCGCCGATTCAATTGGTGCAACTATAGGTGCTGGAGCTGCATTCCTCGTTGGGCGAACGGTAAGTTTCTTACTTATACGTTAAGATTAAATATCTTTCATCAAATATTTATTGTTATCATTTATTTTCTAACGATGAACAGATCGGGAGGTCATACGTTATATCCAAGTTAAAAGACTATCCGAAGTTCCGTGCGGTTGCCATTGCAATTCGGAGATCAGGATTCAAGGTATGTGAGCCTGTTGCTTATAGGTAGTTCGATTGGGATATTTTTCTTATTTATCTTCTGCGCGATATTTCAAATCCATTTTATGCTTATGTAAAATCGAACTTACCACAATTCACCTTTGAGCAGATAGTGTTGTTGCTCCGGCTCGTTCCTTTACTCCCCTTTAACATGATGAACTATCTCCTGTCCGTGACTCCGGTGCCTATAGCTCAATACATGCTCGCCTCGTGGTTGGGCATGATGGTACGAAACTTCAATCATCCTTACGTATTTTTTGTGATTTTGAAGATTCCGAGGGTGTGTTTGTTTGGGGATTCGGGTTTTGGTTTGAGTTTTAAATAGTAAAAACTTGAATTTGACTAGCTGTTCGATGGCATGTTACGTGTTTGTGATTTCAAAGATTTTGAGGTGTGCTTGTTTGGGGATTTAGGTTTCGATTTGAGTTTAGAACAGTAAAAAATTTGAATTTGAATGGCTGACGTTGATGGCGATGTTTTAAAGGTACAATTGATTTTTAGTGTAACATAAAAAATAAAAAATTTTGTATTTGATTTGATATTTTTGGAGTGAAAAAGAATGCTTTCGAAAATTGTACCGGGCTTATATTGCTCCTTTTGATCTTCTTTCCTTAGCCGATTACCTTTGCCTTGGTCTACGTCGGGACAACCTTGAAGGATCTTTCAGACGTAACGCACGGATGGCATGATTTCTCGAAAACCCGATGGGTATGCATGTTTGAGCTCTTCGTCGCTACTCGGTGACAATTCTCTTGTCGTTAATTTTTGTGTGCTATTTTGATGCAGGCGTTTATCGTGTTGGGTTTCGTCATGTCGGGTAAGTTTCGAGTGACTTCGTAACAATGTTATTTCGAAATTAAAATAGCGAACCTGATTCTCGATTCGAATTGTTTTTATCTGACTTTGTCGCGCCTACTCACGCTTGCAGTGCTGTTGCTGTATTGTGTGACGAGAGTCGCAAAGGCTGCTTTAGATAAAGCGTTGGCAGAAAACGAGGATGAAAACGTCGATATTTTCGACCAACAGCTACCGGTCTCCACAGATCTCGAAAATCCGCTGATAATCAAGATCGACGACAACAATCGAGACGCAAATCACGAAAAATAGCTCATTTTACGTGTAAGCTCGCCACTTTGCTTTCGGTATTTTTCTGTACAGCCAAATATATGATAAATTTCTTCGCGTCGAACTATTGTTCTTACAGTAAAATAATCAGACGTAAAATCGGAGACTCGACTTTATATAGGTTTTTTCAAGTGTATATATTGTTTCAATACTCTCGTTATGTAGATTCGTTTAATCTTGCGACGTAAAGGGAAGATAGCGCGCTTGGTAAGACGATCTATAATTAGCCGGTTCTAAAGTTCGCTGAATTCAAAATGCTCGACTACAAAATTTATTAGGAACCCGGCGGGTATCGATGATGAAAATTTGCGAGAATTGCTGTTGAGATTAATCGATCACGACAATTTTAATTGAAGAATACAGCTATAAATTGTTTGTTAAACTAAACGAGTCGAACACAGATATAAGCTCGATCAAATTAGCACTGTTCAATTTGTATTGAGCTCTAACAAAAATCTCAGCTTGGCTCTTTTAACAATTGAACGCAGAGTTGAGCTCAAATTCTTAACTACTTGAACTCAAAACATATATATATAAACATATATATATATATAAATCAGACATTTTTTGTAATTTTATTTATTTATTTATTTTGAATTGCAAGAAACATCACAGTTTACAAAAAGATTGGACATCTTTTTGTAATTTTATTTTTTTATTATTATTATTTTACTTTTTTTTTTTTTTTTTTTTTTTTTATGACGTTAAAATCCGCAATCGTTACCGAAAATCCGCACCACGTAAACTTTCGATCGATCCTGCAAACTAGGTCCTATAAGTGACCTGGAGGCCACCTATGATAAGTCATCCCATACCACTGGTCATCCCTTACTAGATTTATCACCATCTCAACTCAAAGTATCTATTTTACCATTTTCGGGAGTATAATTTTTTTACTTTGTATTGCGAGAAACTTGGCAGACCAGAAATGTTGTATTTTACAGACGCACCCGAATCCACTAACTTTAATTTGTTGCGGCTTCCACCAACAACTTTGGTGGCTCTGATTTGGACCACATTAACATTAACGAAGCCCAAATTGGTCGAGCTGTTAAGAGTAGGCCCGGAAAACAATTATCGAAAATACGGTATTCCTCCGTCCAATACAAAGTTGTCGTTTATTTTTTATACGTAGATATTTTAATATTAATATTATAATAAATTGTAGTAAAAAAAAAGAATATACCCGTACTAGTATTGTTTAATATAAAAGTAATGACATTTATGTAATATAGTGTAAGTTGGAAGAATATTTATTATATTAGATAGATAATACAATTACTAAATCAGAAAATTGTAACCTTGTTTTTAGACGGATAAAAATAGAAAATGACAACCTTTCAATAGGACGGAGGAAGTATATTGTTTTGATATTGTGCCAAAAAAGTATCATCTCTGTTCCGGCTTTAAGGGTCTTATTTACTTTTTACGTGTCGATATTAGAATATTAATTATTATATCAAAATATAGTGCAAATTGAGAAAAAATTGCAAAAATACTTTCATTAATGTCTTATAATACTAATAGAAGAATATTTGTATAAAAAAATTATACAAATATAAAAATATTTTTAATGTTAATTACAATCACGCAAAAAAGTAAATGTAGCCCTTAAAGTGGACAGAAAGAGTATTAAAAATTGTGATGGTAATATAAAAATACTATTATGTTGAATTGTTAACTTTTTGTGACCGAATAATATAAGACATTAAGGGTGTGTTTGTTTGGGGGATTGGATTTTAAATCCACTGTTCATCCTATTTTTTTCTCCCAAAAATATCAAATCAAACACCTATTTTTTATTTTTTATATTATACTAAAAATCAATTTTATATTTAAAACATCACATCAACACCTATTTATATCACATCATACAACTATTCAAATTTAAAATTTTTACTATTAAAATCTCAACTCAAAATCCACACCACCCCGAACAAACACACCGTAATATTATTTCATAGGTTTTCTATAGAGTAAAGTGTAATATTTTGTGTATATGTTAGTACAACGGTGTTTTATGCGGTTTTTTTAAATATTTTTGATATATTGATAAATCTTCAGTATATAAATCATTTCGATATATATATATATATATATTTTTTTAGAAATAAAAGTCAAAAACTCTTCCAAACATGACCTAATTTTGGTCAAGGCCTTGCAAGAAAAGTGAAGAGAGAGCCAACAACAATGCAATGATTATACATGAAGCAAAATCATATGCTTGTATTTGAGTGCTTTGGTGCCCACTGCACTTAATTTCCCTTTTCCTGTAATAAATAAATAAATAAATAACCTATATATTCTAAAGAAAATTTTAATATTATTTATAAATAGTAATTTCTGAAAAAAAAAAACAATTATACTAAATAGTATCTATTTATTTTTACAGAATCATATAACATTTTAATTTTTTCATTATTTTTAAAATTTGTCAAAATTTCAAAAATCTTTATTTAACGGAGCCAAAGTTGGTGGTGTGAATTATTTATTCCATCACCTTCATGACACCAAATTCTTAGATCTGATTTTAGTTGCGTATTATTTATCATCTTTTCTTCGTTAAACTATCAAATTAAATACATATTTTTTATTCAAAACTATCGATCTGTTCTCTCAATATTATTTTCCAATTGTGATTTTCGAAAAATAATTTTTACAATAGTAAAAAAAAAAAAAAGAAAAAAAAAACTTCAAATATTCTTTAAAAAAAAATCAATATATTCAATTTAAAACAATATATTTATAATTTTGACACAATTTTCTATATCATACAAAAAAATAAATCTATCTAAACACACAACCATATCAAATACTGTTTCAATTTAAATTTTTATTATTATCAGACTCCAAACATTAAAGGAACACAACCATACTCATTCCCCTCTTCTTTATTTAAGTGCCCTTTAGGACATCAAGAAGTTAGTTTCATTTATGTTCTTTTCGTTACAAGAAAAAAAAAGGGTTCACCCACCGGCTGTCGCTAAAATGATTGTCCTAAGCCTAATTTCAATTACAAGATGCTTCAATGGTTGCAAGGATCACACCAAAGTCTCCGGTCCCGGGACGAGAATTTGGAACTTTAGCGACCGGCCAATCGAGCTTCAAGTAAGAGTCGGATCGATCCTTAAAAAGGCGCACACTTTGAAGCCCGGATCGTCGAAAAGGCTCAAGGGCAAGAAAATTTACAAAGCGTATATGCCCGGAAAAGCCAAGGGGGGCGACGGAATTTCGAGCCTAATTTATTATTACGACGAAACGTGTCATCCTTACATTTGGATTCATGACACGGGGTGCGATTTTTCGAGAATGGTTAAACAACAGTATATCAGTCTCGAGGAATTGAAAGAGTGCTCGGAGATTAGAGTTTTTAGGGATCATCAAAGAGGGTGCATTACGGTTCGTAAGAAGTCGAGGCCCGACTTTTGTTGAGGTTCGTAATCGCTATCTTTTCTAGCATTTGGTTATCGATTTTTCAGAGTCGTTTTGTTGTAATTTGATCTTCGTGCAAAAATGTTTTGAAGTTGTTAAGAATTTAAGCGAGGATCGAACACTGAATAAATAGTTTTTCAATTATCGATTTTTTGTCTATATATATGTATATATATTTTATATATTATTATGGAAAATTTCAATTTTTAAATAAATTTTAATCTAAATAATACTATGAAAAATGAAAACAAGTAAACAAATCTTGATTTCTACTTCCCTAGGCTCTCTAACCCCTTGAGTTTGTTTAGATCATTAAAATAAGTATTAATTTTTATTTTTTTTTATATTAAACAATTTGAAAATTTTAGTTAAAAAATGATATTCGAATATTTATTTACATTATTCATAAATTTATTTTAATTTAAAATGTCACAATTTTAAATCTCTAAACCTAACTCCAAATCAACTAACAAAGGAACCCAAATTAAACTATATATTTTTAATTTTATTTTAGCACCATCAACAATTCTTTTTAAAAAGATTAATATATATTTTTATTTAAAATATCAAATAAAAAATGATATTACATTAAATATCATTTTAAGGGTGTAATATATATATATATATATAATGAACTATCGGTGAATAATATAAAAAAGTAATTTAAAAGTATAAGTAAAAAGAATATAAATTTTCAAAATATTATATTAAATAAATATTTATATTTATATAACATCTAAGTGAATTTGTTTGATTGAAATATTCTGATATTTTGGCATGCTTTTGAACATAATAAAATTTTTTAAATAATCATTCAATATTATAAAAATAAATATTTGGTGTAATAATTTTAACAAAAACTATTGTTTATATAAAATACTAATTAAAAATAATATTTTTTCTGTCCCAATACAATGATCTTATTTATCATTTTTGTCCGTCCTAAAACAATAGTTTCATTTCCATAAATAATCATATCACCATAAACTATCCTACTTTTTCATTATTATTACATAATTGTCATTATTTTTTACACTAATGATAATATAATATTATTATTATTAAGACTGTACTTTTGGGACAATGAAGTATAATATTTTAAAAATTTATTATTTTCAAATTAACTCAAAATTTCTTAAAAATATTAAACGGGCCTATAAACCTTTTAATCCAGTAAGAATTACGCTGTCATCTTTCCCCCAAATTGGGGATTTCTGTAAAACCCTAATTTCTTTCCGAATGAATCATTCATGCGATTTTAACGTCTGTAATTCGTTTGATTGTGTCAATCATCTCTTCCGGAGGGCTCTTTGAATCCAATTGGTTGATGATGAATTTAAGGTAAGATGTTTTTTTTGAGATGTCTTATCGTTCTGTGTTTTTGTAAATTTTGTCGAGAAATCAGACCTAATTTGTGGATCGAATCAGCCATTGAAATAGTCTCGAAATCGTTGATTGGTTCCCTCTTGGATGAGATATTGGCAAACTCCCATATGCAGCAGCTTTGTTTGATCGAATTCCTTAAATGTGTGCTTTTGTGCTTTAAATCATACATAAACCTTTGGAATTGGTTTATGAAATCATTTTTTATGTTCTAATTAGATTATATCTTTAATATTTTAAATATATTTATCTATTTTGTTATTTTAATTTTTTTGAAATTATTTTAATTTTAATAATTGTGTTTATTACGTAATTTTTAAAAAATTTTACATGCTTGACAATCCGCTTGTTTGCAGATTAAGTAAGATTGATAGAATTTTGATGTCTTATATATTAATCTTAATAGTTTTATATAATTAAACTGACCTTAAATTGTGACCCATTTTTCTCCCATTAAGTCTATGACATTCAAAATATACGTGAGAAGTGTTAGAAAATCAGAATACACCATAGCTAATTGAGAGCCATCGTTTGGCAACATCATCTTAGGGTTCCAGATACAGAGTTTGGCAACACCATCTTCCCACGGTTTCAATCTACCATTTGCTTGAAAAAGAGAGTATTGAGAATAAATTTAATTTTTAGCAATGATTGGGGGTTTGTTTAAATTCCGCTTCCGCTAATATATTTGATCGTATGTTTATTTTCTAACATGAATTTGAAAAAATTTGGTTTCAATCTTATATTAAAATAATGATTTTTTTTTTTAAAATTGCAGAGTTCAAATAATAAAAATTTAAAAAAAATTGTCTAAAGAAACAAACCCTAAAATATAGTAAAAATACTTGGCTCACCAAATTATTTGATTTTGTATATCCATTTTATCTTAATATTATGTGTGTTTATTTGGAAGATTTTATCTTTCATTTTACTATTCTAATTTTCTTTTAGTTCTAAAAATATCAAATCAAATACACAATTTTTATTTATTTTATTACATTAAAATCTAATTTTATATTCAAAATATTACATCAATACATATTTATATCACATTAAACAACTATTTTAATTCAAAATTTTACTATTCAAAATCAAAGCTCAAAATCCAAACCTCGCGAGTAAACACACTTGCGATTGCATGTTTCGGAAATATATATTTTTTAATGTGTTAGATAATAATTTTAAAATTAAGATAGGCATTTTAAATGAAAAATAACAACAAAAATGGCTAGAAAGTAACATCTATTAATATTGGTTTAATTTATTTCCATTAATATTAACATTTTGTGTTATGTGCATGTACTTTATTTTTTTAAGATTCTAGAAATAATTATTTGATTTGATAATTTGAATCCAGACATAATATTAAATAAAATACATAAGAAAACAAAAAGATTGTGTTATTTGGTCATTCAAAAAATGTTTCCAAAGACCATAAATTGGCCGAGTTGCGACTCAAAAATCATATTTGTTTTCGACAAAAAGTACAAAATCCGACTCTCGGAAAATGTAGATAAAAATTTTGTTCTTTCAGGCCAATAGGGGACCATTTTATTCGTTCTTATTAGAATTACGAGAGGACAATCCATGTTTTCCGAGCCCTAGTCGAGATAAAATAAGCACACATACACACGAAATGGACCACTCGGACAACGACCGATGAACCTTGACAAAATCTCGGGATCCAACTTCTTACATCAAATCTTCGTCACTTGTACACTCGGGAGTTGGGATCCATGGCGCCCCCGAAAATCACTCTCTATCGTAAAGTCTTCGTCGCCATCGTCTTGAGCGAGCATTCCCGAGACGGAACACTTATGCTCGCTCGTAGAACAAATAATTCTCCACCGTTCATTTAAAATAGATAGACCGTAAAAAAAGAAAAAAAAAAGAAGATGAATTGTATACTATTATTACAAAATATTAAATGACTCATTTTAAAGGGGACGAAAGTAGTATTTTATTTTACTATTAAAATATTAGTAGTATTATTTTTAGTTTTTGTACCTAATCAAATCCACGTAGCTCTTCGTCTCAGATAAATTGTCAGTTTTCTGTATATACGAGAATTTAAATAAAGTATAATTAATACATAATTAAAAAATATATTAGTAAAAATACTAATTATTGTATTATAAAAATAATTATAAATTAATATTAAAATAACTAAATAGTTTAACTAAATTAAAATATTATAAATTTTAAAATATAATTAAAATGTATAATTATTATTATTATTATTTTTTTTTTTATGTAAAACGGATCAAAATAAAAAAGAATTGAATTTATATAAAAAAGAAAAGGTTCTAAACAATATACAATATTTGTTTTAGGTAAGAATTTTTAGGTGGGTAGTACTCCCTCGATCCTAGATATCATGTTACCGTTTCTGTCCGTCCCACATACAATGTCACTTTCATGTTTTGGAAAATAATTACACACTTTAATTTCATTTTAAATTTTTTAATTAAACTAATTAGTTATCTTAATCTTAATTTATAATTATTTATATTATAGGATAATTATTTTCACTAATACATTCTTAATTATCTACTAATTACACTCCTCCTAAAATATTGTCTACAGTGTAGCAGACAAGACGAAAGGAGTATTAAATATGATAATTTAAAAATCAAGTGATATGATAAAAAAAAATAATATATATTTTATTTTTTATTTGAATAATATGATAGAATAAAATGTGAGATAGACGTTAAATATAATTAATTGTTTTCTATTTTAAAAATATTGATAAGTATTTAAGACATACCCAAAAAATATATATATATATTGTAAAAAATATTTGTAAACAGAGTGAATACTATTTTTATTTTATGATGATTTTGGTTTGTTGTGCGTTTCTCACTCCTCTCTCTCTCTCACATAGAGAGAGAGACACGCAGTCACTGCAAAGTCCAATAATGTCTGTGAATTGAGTGTCTGCAGATTCCTCTCTGCAACAATCACTGCTACATCTCATGTCATCACATTTATAAATATTTTAGCATTTTCCCTTCCCTTCCATTCTTACAACATCACTATGTTATGCCAATTTTTATTCCATCTCCGTCCAACTTATTTTGTCCCATATTTTTATTTTCATTTATTTTATATAATTTATTTTTTAAAATATAATTATACAATTTAATTACATATTAAAATTCATAATTTATAATTTTTTATTTTAATTAAATTATTTAATTATTTTTATTAATACATTTTTTTATTATTTAATAATTACATAATATGTAAAACTCTATGTCTAAATTAAAATGAACAAATTAATTGGGACAGAGGGAATAACATTTTTCTTCCTAGACTCCAAATATATAGCTTTGTGTTTCATTCAATATACTTCATCTGTGAAAGATTATCGTTTACTTTTTGCACATATATTTTTTAATATTAGTATTATATTAAGTTATAGTAAAAAATACTTCATCCGTCCTAAAACTATGGTCTTATTTGGGTTAGGCACATAATTTAAGAAATATTTATATTATATTGATAGTTGGTAAAAAGTATGAGTAAAATTGTTTTTTACCCTTGTGAATGTATAATATAAAAAGTAGTGACATTTGTGTAATAATAATGAAAAAATAGGGATAATTTTATGGTGACATGAGTATTTATGGAAATGAGACCATTGTTTTGGGACGGACAAAAATAACAAACAAGATTATTGTGTTGGAACAGAGGGAGTATAGAAATACCCTTGTTAGTATTGTATAATATAAAATTAATGACATTTGTGTAATATATTATAAATTGGAAGAACGTCTATTATGCTAGATTGATAGTACAATTACTAAATTAGAAAATGATAACATTGTTTTGAGACGGATGCAAAAAGAAATGACAACCTTTCAATGTGACGGAAAAATTTCATAGTTTTTGAGATAATTTTAAATAAATACTCCCTCCGTCCCAGATACCATATCCACGTTGCCGTTTCTATCTGTCCCACATACCATGTCACTTTCCTTTTTTGAAAAATGATTACACGCTTTAATCTCATTTTAAATTTTTAAATTTTATTTTTTTAATTTTAATTAAATTAATTAGTTATCTTAATCTTAATTTATAATTATTTATATTATAGGATAATTATTTTCACTGATATATTCTTAATTATCTACTAATTACACCCCTGTTAAAATACCGTGTCTACAGTGTAGCAGACACGATATTTGGGACGGAGTGAGTATTATTTTCTTTATTATTTAAATTTAAATTTATTTTTTCAAAAAAAATATCATTAAACAATATTCTTATTTTTTTTAAGTAAAAATATATATTATATTTTATATTTTTACTATAAAAGATAAAAAATAATTATTATTAATTATTTTTTCTTAATATTTGTGCTCAGGTATTTGAGCACACAATTGAATGACAAATTGAATATAAAAAATATAATGTACTATTTTCATCCAATAATAAGAGTCTCATTTACTTTTTGTGTTAATATTTAAATATTAATTATTAAATAAAAACATAATAGAAATTAAGAGAAAGTGACCATAATACTTCTATTAGTGTTTTATAATACTATTATAATGACATTTGTGCAAAAAATTATACAAATATAAAAATATTTTTAATATTAAATACAATGCAACAAAAGATAAATGAAATCCTTAGAGATGGACAGTGAAAGTACTATGTTTTAATCACATTTATACAATTATTCATACCCAAAGTAAAAAATGCAAACATTCAAAAACATATAAAGTGAATACACTCGAGACGGCACGCTGCCACCTCCTCCCTGCTAGCCAAGTGCTTGATCAGGTTCTCATTATTTTATATATTTTTGTGGTGAGATATGTGAGCTTTTTTGCATATTTATATTTAACATTAAAAATCGTCACAGATGAACTATGATCTCAACGGTCATAAGTTCATCCCACACCATCATATCATATTCACAGTCCCAAAACTATAGTTTGGGTTGTATTTGACACAGAATTTAAGGAATATTAATATTATATTGATAGTGGGTAAAAAAATTTTTTGCCCTTGTGAATAGATTAGTATAAAAAGTAGTATCAATTGTGTAATAATAATAAAAAAGTAAGGGTAATTTTATAGTGATATGGTTATTTATGAAAATAAGACTATTGTTTTGGGACGTACAAAAATAGTAAACAAGACTATTATATTGAGACAAAGGAAGCGGTA